TAAGTTTTCCCTTTGCCATTGAATCTCACCACGGCTAAGTGTCAGTTTTGTTCACGAGCGCGAGCCACTGTGCGCTGCAGTCCCGCCATTGATTTCTCAGTAGAGTGCTCTTTTTTGAAAATGGCAAATATGTCTGTGGTTTTCGCAGTTGAAGACCTTTCCTTTCGTGGTTACTTCTATTTGCTAGGGTGCTTTGATTTCGGACATACTCTGGAGTCCTTAAAACTTTCGTGACTTAGGCGTCATAGTTCCATAAACTGATTTTGGAGAGACGTCTAGTATTGTTAGTTGTAATTTCTTGATTGATTGTTAAGTTCACTTCAAAACTACGGCTCAGTTATGTCTACTGTGTGTTGTCAATGAAATGATCGTCACTTGGTCGTATGTTTTCGTGGTCAGAGGTTTTCTCTATTGCAGCTTTTAGAGTGATTTTATTAAAAGGCAAGTGCCATTGTATAAGATTAAGGCTCAATCTCGGTCGTTCGAGCAATGGCTGATTCGCAGATCCTATCTATACGGAGTTTAATGGATAATAGTGAAACCCAGCCAAATTCAGACAATAGTGCAGAGCTTATCGAAGATCTCCTAAATGGTAAGCATTAGAACAGTTTTAAAGTTTTTGCGAGTAAGTTATTTTGCTGGTTTGTAAGTAAATTTACGATTTTGATATCGTTGCGAGTAAAATGTTGTCGTTTATTTTCATATGTGAAGGTCCAGAGAAGGATTTGGAAGCAGAGGATGACATGAATGTTAACGATGAAGTCGTACAGACTCCTCCTCCTTCTCCTAGCACTGGTCGTCCCAAACCAAGGTTTTATAGCTCGTTTTTGTCTGTTTCCACACTACGTTTGTTATTTTGTTGAAGACTTGGGGTGGTGGTGTGCTATGTTCTTTTCCCATTCCATCAACCGTGCAATATTTTGTAGTAGGAACATTTCTCATTAGGTGGTATATGCTAGACTAACTGGGGAGAAAGTGCTATTCAAAAACCACTTTTCCGACAGGGATATTAAGGTTTTTTTGAGCTAAAAGTGGAGCAATTCCTTTTAAAAAACGCGGTCTAACGCATAGACGTTGACTTTCAAAACGTCACTACAGTCATGAAAACGATTTCATTGAAGGAATTTCCCGTGCTTAAGGCCAGTGTGTTTGCTCCCTAAAATTCATTCAACCAATCTCTTTTAGTATAAGTGTTCATCCTACCCGAGACCGCTTTATGCTCTGAGGATTTGTTTTTTGCCTTTTTTCGTTCTCCTGTTATCTTCTAAGATAAGGTTATGGCTTACTAACATCTAGGTGTTTCTCTCGCCAAGTCTAGTTTTGCTTGGTTTGCCTTCTGACCGGTGTGAAGTAAGGCTTTTCTTGCTTTTATTTGCGTAGTCGAGAATCTCCGAGCCAGGCTGGTCGGACTTTAGGTGTTACTATTTCGCCTTCCAAAATGTACCACATTTAGATATAGTTAGCTTTTCAAGGAGAACATCATCTCTATGATATTTTAAGGTCGATCTGAACGAAAGTCGATGTTGAAATGTGGTAGAGCTTCGAAATTAGCTGTCCTTAAGATTTTCATCGATATTCCTTGGGTACTTGGATAAGTACTCATTGGGTGTCTTCCGTGTTTTGGTCGACTTCTGCTGTCTTCACGAAGAAGTGGCTTCCTCGAAAGCAATTGAATGCTTCGTTATCACATTTTCGTTTAATGAAAGGTGAGCTACAAAGTAGAGAATGGATCGATAACCAGTGAACTCAGCACCAATAGTGGATTGTAATACTTACTTGGATACTTTAATGGCCCGTCCTCACTGGTTATGCGGGCCCCAGCGGTCAGCCAGATCAAAGTCTGCCCCAGGTCGTTACCATCACGGGTAGTTACTCCCGTTTTGGATCAGAGGGAGATTTGCCACTGTGCGACCAGTTTGATACCAAAACGGTGACTGATCCTAGTATTGGTTTGTGGATTGTAATAGCTATTCTTAGGTTAGTTTCTTTAGCGAATTGTAGTAGCTATTCTGAAGATAAGGAATCTTTTTGTTGTTCGACCAGCGAGCATTTCATTCTTCATTCCTTCTAGATGGTAGAATGAAGTTCCATGTGTGAAGTTGTAAGTGTGTTTATGAATCTGCCGTGTTCGCCTAGAAGCTGAGAAGAGTGACAGACGTTAAAAGGTGTAGAGTATTAAGCTTAACTCATCGCCGTTTAAGTAGGACGTTTTCATGTTGTCGCTGAATAGTGCAGCGAGTCATTCCTCGTGTCGTCACTTGTATTCAATTTCTTACAGCATTGAATGAATTGTTGTTCGATATTGTTTGGAAAATCTTTCATCAAAAGCATCCTTCCTTATATTTTAAATGTTTTTATTCGTAGTCGATAGAAATAACTGCCAGTATTGATGACTTCAATTTGTATGGCAGGTGGTGATGCCTTTCGTCCACAATCAGTGAGGCCATAAAGCAAAAAAGTCGGTGAGCACTATTTCGAGGTTGAAGGTCGATGAAGTCAATGATATTAGGTTCAGCTGTTTGGCTGTTCACTGGGAAGGGGAGTGTTTTTCCGATGAAGTTGCTGTAGTTTATTCTTAATGGTTGACACGTTGTCATACATCAACTGAGCAGAGTTGTCTCTATGGCTTGCTTGTTTTATAACATTGGCCAATTTCTGAATTTGCTTAGTACTATTACAATTGTGATTGCGCGGTCAACCTGTCACGAAAGATTCGAAATAAAGCAGTCCTCAAAGATCCTATAAAATGCTAGCACAACTTCTTTCTACTGCGTGTCGTTGATCAGCTGTGTTGGTTGCTCTTCACGAGAAATCGAAAAGATACAACGTACGCTTTTGTAGGCAAGACCGAGATGTGATCACCTTCACCACCAGGAGAGTTTTCTGTCTAAACGACGCAAATGCAACCGACAGATACTTGTGCGGCTTAGTGGGTTCGCATCAGTGAGTGTTTGGTGCCCTTTGAGTGAGTGCATTCTGATAAGAGAGATCGTGTAGCTGGCTGAACATCGCTTGTTTCACACTGAGAAGGGACTCATCCTCTTAAGGGGCGGACGAAGTTTAGTAAGGACGCGAAGAGACGAATGAACTGATTGTTGGTGGCTCTGCAAAGTAGAACATTGCACTCGAATTTTTCGCAGATGTTGGCATCTGCCTCGGTCGCTCGGTATCTCCTTTACCCATAGGAGGTTATTTTTAACAGGTTTTGTCAGTTTTTCAGTGTCATTTTTCAACAGAGAATCGGAATATCACTGTGTACCTTTGACGGCTGAATCTCTTCTATAATTTCTTTAGCCCATTAGACCTTTAATTTCTCCTTATGAAGGCCGCATCTTTTTAGAAATTATGGTGTCAAAACTTTTACTTAACCAAACGTTTCTTCACGAAGTGCTTAAGTATTTCTTCAGTGTTCCATGACGATTGACTTTCGAGTGTTTAGTAACTTTACTTCACTTACGGCAACCTCCTTGAACTCTTGAGAGCGTGAACTTTCGGGATCTTCATTAAATTCCATTTCCCCTAATATTCGACGCTTGGGTTAGCTCGCTTCTGCTTGGAAATTAGGAAAAAAGTGAGGAAGAGACACTACTGGTGAACTATGAGAGTTACTGTTTAGTTAAATCAGCATACTTTAGAGGTAATAGAAAAGATATAGGATAGAGGTCCACTTCTTTTTACTAGTATTTTGGCACAGCCAACTTGTTAGTTGAATAAGAAGTTAAGTGAATTCGTCGTGTAATTTGATGGTATTATTGGGGTTATGATGAGCAAAGTAATATTTTTCGCTTACCATTCTTTTTCCTGCAGCTATTTTGCATAATTTATAGTTTTCTGCACTATGTGTTACCCACTATGAACTATAATATTTACTTATTAAACTTTCTAGAAAAAAGAAAATGAAGAAGGTTGTGCATTTTTCAGTTTATTTTCCTTGGCACAAGTGTCTTCTAAGCTTGGAGAGCTTTGGTCGTCCGCCAGGGAAAGCATTTTCGGGGAAGATTACTGGATTCCTTCTGATCCGAACGAAATCGCTTTGTTTCCCCTTGAACTTCTTCGTGCGCATAAGGTTAGACGTTATGTCAATCAAATATGCTAAGTTAATATTTATTATTACTAGGTATTACGAAATTTAGGAAACTTTGCTTTTTCCTGCAGTACTCAAATTCACATTAATTTATATTTAGGTTTTCTAACATAAGTTTTTTTTCTAATTTGTGAGTATTATTGTTTCTTAAAAGGGCGCGTGTAGTGCGGTGGTCGGAGGCGCCCTGCAATACACACGGGATCGATCGCCGCGCCCACAGCTCACCAAACCTTCCATCCCTCCTGGGTAAGCAGATTGTTACCAGACTTATCTGGGAGGATAAGGGCATTTGCTCGATACATCGATAGGCCACCTTAAGTCTTGCTCACCAAGCCCTCCATTCTTCTGGTGTCGGCAAATTAGTACCAAACTTGTCTGGGAGAATAGCGGCACTGGCGCGATACATCGGTACGCCACTGCGGCTCATTGTAAGGGCCAGATATGCATTCGGTAACATCCATCGTTGCTTAATGAAGTCGAACGCTTGGCACATTCCTCAGGTATTGATCAACGCCGAGAGCTTTACTCTTTATTCTTTTAATGTATGGTCTAGACGGTTAGATCTGCTTTCGAGTTTCTTCTCATTAAATGGTTATATGTTTAGGCAGATGTAGTAACTTAAAATGTTCTGAGATCGCTACCTAATGGCTATCTGCCCCTTTTTCAAGTGTCTTAGGGAAGATTTGATTCTTCATTACTATACATCCTCTCGAAGTTTATCAAACGAGCTATTTTGCCGTTTCGATCTTTTAATTTTACTATTTATTTTATCTTTCCAAGTAGTTATAACGTTCATTGTGTCATCACTGAGATTACCTATCACTGAGATTCTTGCTAATACTAATGGAAATTTTATTCTCTTGGTTTTTCTATTAGCAAATACTTTAAATATAAACAAGGGAATGGATCATTCTAGGTGATCTTTCCGGTTGACGATCATAATTCTCAACTCAGAGTAGTGCAAGGACCAGTGAAGAATAGACCTGCAGAGCCACTTCACCACGTTGTTTTTACTCTTTCTGGTCGGAGAAATACTTTGTAACTTGATAAAGCATATATTAAAATTGTGCAGCTCTACACTTAAGATTTGCCAAATGCCCCATCCTACAGCCTGTTTCGGTCCACTGTTGTCGAAGATGCAGTTGATTTATGTCGTCGTTGTGTTGAATGCAAAATCCTGTTCAGAATCTTAGGTAGTTTCAATAATTTTTTTTCAATGACTAGAGCACTAGATTCCTGGATCGGCCTTTTCAGATCGTTCCAAAGACACGAAAAAACCGATTAGCGATTTGATGTCGAAATTAAGGCAATATCCCTTGTATCGTATGATCCACATTGCCATTGCTTGCGATCGATTGGATCTATTCGATGATGCAAATATCGAGTACATGAATAGTGAGAAGAAATCTTTTCAGAGGTAAGTCACTGTATAAACGTCTTGTTGGTTCCCTTATCGCTGATTGGAAGTCCATAGCTGCAAATATTAGAAAAACTTTGTTCTTGACCTTTCTAGTGCGAAATCTGAATATTGTTGAAACATCTCTTAATAACTCAAAAGACCGACTTTCTATACACCTCGGCATCGATAGTTGATATACTTATTTATTTAATCTTATAAACTGATCTTTTTTAGCTGATGCGAGTTTGGTACAGGTTTTTGTTATCGTTGACGTTGTTGCAGTTGTTGCTGTTGTTCTTGTTGGACTATGGCTGACGTTTCGGCGGTTTCGCCTTCCTCAGAACCGTGATGTTGCGAGTGGGACTCAGTATCTCAGTCTTAAGTTTCAGTTTCGAGTCTCAGTCTCAAGTCCCACTCGTAACAGTTCGGCTCTCAGGAAGACGAAACTGCCGAAACGTCAGCCATCGACCAACAAGAACAACAGCAACAACAACAACAACGACCACGACAACGACAACGAAGATCTGTACCAAACTCGCATCAGCTAAAGAAGATCAGTTTATAAGATCATCTGAATATTGTGTCTAGTTAATGTCATACTATGGGGCGTGTGTCGCAGTGCTCAGAGGTACCCTGCAACACACATGGGATCGATCTCCACTCCCCAGGCTCATCAAGTCTTCCATCGCTTCGGGGTCGGCAAATTGGTACTGGACTTGACTGGGAGGATAGCAGCACTGGCCCGATATATCGCAAGGCCACCGCGAGTCATTGTAAAGGCCAGCTATGCATTCAGTCACCTCCAACGGTGTTTGATGAAGTCGGATGCATGGCGCATCCTTCAGGGATTGAGCAGCTCCGAAGGCTTTATCCTTTATCCTGTACTTCATCTTGCTATTACTTTTTCTAGAAAAGTTTCTTCTTTTTCATCCGAGTTTTTTAATCCCACAGGGTTCGATAATCTTGCAATTATGACGCTTTTGAGTAGTAATTGTGGAAAGGTTTCGTTAGTGCATCTAGCAACATTTGCACTTTGGTTTCTATGTTCTGTCGCTTTGGTTTGTGTGATCATACCATATTTAGCTTGATGAAAATGATGATACAACCAGAAGGTAAATATCCACTCCATTTGGCCATCGAAATGCATCGTTTGAAAATTGTGAGAAGAATGTTAAAGTTGGGAGCAGATGTGTCGGTTAAGGATATTAATGGGAATAACGCTATTCATTATGGTTCGCTTGCAAGTGTTCAAATGCTTGAGGTAAGTTGTAGAGTGCTGTATTAAATAAATTTTGCTCTCTCTTTAATTTTATGACACACAGTCAGAGCAAAGTTTCCTCAGATCTAGTTGTCTGCCTTTTTTCATGTTGTTTCTTTTGTTTCAGCTTTTATGGGAATTCGATGAATGTCATGGTCTTATTAACCAGACTAATAATGAAGGATACGTACCTGTAATGTTAGCTATAAGAGCAGCTAATCCACGTTGTTTTGCAACACTTCTAAATTTTGGTGCCGAACTTAGTATGCGGGTGCAAGGGCGTAACCCGCTCTTCGAAGCCATGCAAAGCAAGGGGAAGAATGCAGAGTTAGTACGTTCAGTTTGATGTTAAGCCATATGCTGAGTGAAAATGAACACAATTGACATGCTTTAGTATCATCAAAGCAATTATCGAAGCATCTCCTGATCTAGTTAAAGAGCGAGACTCGTCAGGGAATAGTGCCCTTCACGTTGCCATGCATAAAACACCACTGATGGGTCTTCTATTTTTAAAGTGTAAAGAAGTCGAGTTGAACGCTAAGAATAACGCTGGACAAACTCCTCTTCACATCTTCACTCATAAGTTAAGGATACGCTGGAATTATTTTATTTTGTGGATTTACTGAGTTAGAGATGCATTGAGCAAAAATATCTTGTGACATTGACCACAGAGTCTTATTATTCGATTTTCAGGGTGAAATTGGTTTGATGATCACTCTGTTGTCGTACTGTTGTGATATTGATGCACAAGACAATGACGGAAACACTGCACTTCACATCGCTGTTTCGAAGAAGAACAATGAGGTTTGATTCACCTCTTCGATACTATCTATGTCATGTTCCACGTGTATTTTCGCACTAGTTTCGGGGAACGTCTTGATTCTAGGCCACCAGGTTACTCCTCTGTCTTGGAGCGAACCCAAACTTGACAAACAGCAATGATGAAACTCCAAGGCATTTGGCTGCTCGTTTGAAAGAGTATGTACACAAACATGTTTAGATCTATGTATTTTATCCACTACACATTTTTAAACAATCATTCCTAATCTATTATTGCACAGAACGACACTCTTGAAATCTCTTATCATGTGCGGTGCTCTCACTTGTCCTCCAAAAAAAGTGGGTTGTGTTTCTGGCTGTGTGAACGAAGCTATGAAAGGATTGTTTATGGTAGGTGCCACCAATATTCGCTTAATAAATTCTTCTTGACTATTAAGAATAGTAGATATATAGTCCTCATCATCCAATGAGGGCGATAGTCCTCGAAGTTCCCGTCGTGATCTATCGACTGAGACTTATCCTGATGCTGCGGAAGTTGTTAATTCAATTAGAGACTTTGTACAGAAGGTATTTCCTGTTCATAACTGGTCATCCAGTATTACAGTTGTTGCTGCATTGTTTCCAAGTGCTTTAAGATGTTCTACGACTCACTTATTGCGCGCCTAGACGACTTAGATTCACGTTGTGAAAAGCCGTCAAATATGCTAAATCTTTTATCGTTGGACGGTGGCGGTATTCGAGGACTTGTTATCCTTCAGGTAAATTGTGACCCTTCCACATTAATTATTCTATTTTACGTGCACTGCTCACTATTTCCTTCTTGTAGCACTGCCTGTTTACCCTACTTTCCCTCCTCATTTTTTATTTGGAAAAATTTCATATTTTTTCCACTATTTTCTTAATCAGTGTTGAATTTCAACCTTAGACTAGGTGGTTTATACCGTTGGTGTCTAGATACTTATGGCGATCGAGGAGGAAATGAAAGAACCAATTTTCCCATATTTTGATTGGGTCGCGGGCACATCGACAGGTGCCCTTATCGCAACAGCTCTCGCACAAGGTTATATCGCACTAGATTGTTGACTTCATGGACTGATTCATCCTCATCGCAGTTTCTCATGTTCTTTATTTCAGGCAAAACTCTTCGCGAATGTCAACATATCTACTTACGTTTCAAAGATCTAATTTTTGATGGTTGGACGCGACCGTACAATTCTGCAGTTCTTGAGATGTTCATGAAGGAAGCTATCGGCGAGAAAAATCTTGATGATATCAAATATCCTAGGTGGGTTAAGCAGTGCATCTGTTGCATACACCCGCATATATCCGTCTAAAATTCACTTATTTGGTGTTCACAATACAAGTTTCAGACTTATGATTTCAACTGTAAGGGCAGATTTCTTTCCTGTTAAGTTGGAGTTTATGAGAAACTATCAACTTCCACTATCTGAAGATGAAAATTCTGCGTTAGGATTCACTGATCCTTCAGGCATGACTTTTCCATCTTATTGTGACTCTTTAACTACTATATTTGACTTTGTTTGCCTGGGAGTTGATTGTTAATGACAATGAACGACTGTTAAAGTTCCTTATGTTTCCGATGTTAAATTCTTAATCGCTTTGTACTAACTAACCATACTAAGGTGACTCAATAACACGTTGACTGATAATTTACTAGGTGGCGTGGGAAAACTATTAAATTGCCATTCATCATGCTGGTGCCTGCACGATGTTTCCTTATCCGTGAAGACAAACTAACCAATTTACTAACTTAACGTGGCGTAACAGAACATTTTCGAAACGCTTTTATAATATATGCACCAGTTTTTAACTGTCACTCGTTCTGAAGTTTTAGCCAATGATAAATGTTGTTTTCCATGTTTCACGTAAGTTTAAAATGACATCTGTTTGGGATTTTAGAAATTCCAATTTGGAAAGCATTGCGTCGCACATCGGCTGCTCCGATGTTTTTCTCTCCTGTGGACGATAAGTACATTGATGGAGGCATAATTGCTAATAATCCAACCCTCGATTTACTTGCAGAGGCGCAATTGTACAATGGGATCAATACATACCTGGTGTGATTTTAACCTTTTTTGTTTCAAGTTAAGTCTATTTGTGGAAAATACGCGTAAGTACGCGTAAGAACTTAGTAAAAGTACAGCAGAACTGCTCTAAGTTCATACAGAATGCTTAATCCTTCTTATACCTTCATGTTGAGTTGTAGAGAGCCTAAGTCGTTATAAGCATTGGCTCACATTTCTTCAGTCACAGAATTCCGACTAAGGTCATCATTTCTATGGTCTTACAAGTGGCGTCCACGGATTTCCCTCGTATGAGGGATGTCAACGCAGTTAGTCGCAAGCCTATATGTCGCGTCTCCAGGTGGCGAGTAGGTGGATCGTGGACCAAAAACGACCTTTGCTTCCCTGAGATGCAGGCGGATCGTGGGGATGGACTACCTGTTCCTGGTGCTTCGATTTGGCACATACTTTCTGTTTTTACGAGGACGCATATATTCTCTGGTGTCATAGGCGGCGTTGAATGGGTGACGAGACGACGCCAGCCATTCAACGCCGTCCATGACACCGGAGAAGAATTGTTCCTCTGAACATGCAACAGTAGAGAGATAGGCGGCGTCGGCGTTCTCGTCAACACGAGTTTGGCCATCAATATCGATTAATTCGAACGACTAACAACCCAAGTCGGACGTTTATTATTCACGAAATGTGAACCAATACATGCTATAACTTATTGGGAAGGTCTCGATAACATAGACGAGAAATACGATCGGCTCATCAAACATCTTCACGTTAACGCTACGAAAGCTGAGACTTCAAAGGTCACCAAGAGAGGAGAACTCTCCAGAAACAGTAGAGCTGGTAAGCTAGTGTGGAATGGCACGAGCTGCGGGTAACCGCCTTCTTTCGCCCACACTTGCAAAACAATGCAGAGGGGCGATAAGAGAAGATCTTAAGGAAAAAAGAGCAACAGTCATTTTGAAGCTACACCGGCCGGGAAATTCATTACCAGTCACAAAATCAAGATTACTGCAGTCCGACATCAAGAAGAAACAGTTACAGCGTCGAGAAAGGCAATGGAGAAAATTATTCATGATTATTACTCAGATCTCCTCAATAGCCACGTCCTCTTATATGAAATAAAGGAGGATGGATACGGTATACCACCGGTTTTCCCTTTCCAAATCTGGCATGCTAGTTTGTCTGAACACCTGAAGAACCTTCCACCCGTTCTCGTAAACACACTGGCTCAGTTTATAACACGTTACCTGTCTGAGTGCAAGGTCCCTACTCAATGGAAGACCAGCAGGACCGTGTTAATGTTCAAGAAGGGTGACCTTCACGATATCGGTAACTATCGCCCAATCTGCTCGCTGTCTGTCGTCTGCAAACTTTTGACTCGAGTCCTTCCAAACAGGATTGACAGAACATTGGACAAAGGGCAGCCATGTGAGCAAGCAGGTTTTCGAAAAGGATTTAGTACGATGGATCACAACCACACGATAACGAGACTCATTGAAATATCGCGAAAGTACAAAAGACCGCTCTATCTCCCTCTCATCGGTTTAAAGAAGGACTTTGACTCAAATGAGATAGAATCAGTCATAGAAGCCCTTGAGAGTCAGGGAGTCCCTACTCAGTACATAATGATTCTTCTTGAGCTGTATAAAAATTTCACAACCAAGATGTCCCCATTCTACAACGACGTTAACGTCGACGCCAAAAGAGGTGTTAGGCAAGGCGATACAAACTCCAAAATTTTTTACCGCCAACCTCGAGAACGTCATGCATGCGAACTTTGGAATAGGACAACGTGGAAGTGAAAATGGATAGTGGACAATTACACCATCTTCGCCTTGCTGATGATATCGTTTTTATAATACCAAACATTAGCCAAGTGGAACGAATGGTTGCCTACTTTGGGAAAAGGACTGGTATTGTTGTATCAGCAATAATCAGCATTTCACTTCGTTTTTGCTAATTATTAGCTAATATAAAAATTACAGAAACGTCCTGAGGACAAAGTGGAGATTGGTTGCGTGCTTTCGATTGGTACCGGCCAGATACCGCTGTCACCTCTTGATCCCCTGCACGTCGAAATTTTTAATCCGATTTCTAGTGCATTTACTTTTAAAAACCTGAGCCTCATACTCGTTGACCAGGTCAGTTTTTTTTACGAGGTTCTAATATTTTTTTGGAACATTCATGATTTTAGTGAACATTTGATTGTTTTGTGACTGTTTTTATTACCCTTCATTTACGAATGTCGGTACTGTTACAGGTGACGGCAACCGAGGGTGCTCCTGTGGATCGTTCGCGATCTTGGTGCAATGCTATTGGGGTTCCATTTTTTCGCTTTAGCGCCCCTCTTCACAAGGTGCTGTTTCAATAGTAAAAAATATAGCATTTGGAAAAAGTATAATCCGTATACAGTGTACTACGTGTAATTTTGTGAAGCACTGTGTCACTGATGCCAATAACAAAACGGTTTTTTATTGAGTGGTATCCGCGGGTAATTCTCAGGACTTTACCGTGACGTTATTTTACCTGAAGTAGGTTTCCATTTCATCATAGAGTTATGAAAATGCTCAACTTGGGTGGCCTTACAGTGTGGACTGCTTGCGTATGCATTGCTAGATACCCAGATGCCAGGTAAGATTTTTAAATGTGGAGTTTTATTTTTTACTTCTATAATTGTATAATAATCAGGACGGTGGTGGATACTGGCATTGGTTTACTTTTAGCTAGGCCTCCTGATGGAAACTCCATTTATAACCTTAAGTGTAAAACTTGGAGAAGATTTGATGTGTCTGAGTTTGACATATAGTCACACCAAATTTTGCTACCATGAAAAACCTGTCGGAAAGTAGCTGAATATATAGTGTCTGTTGTTAATCTATAGATACACCTATATTCATTCGAATGTCGAAGCTCGTATAAATTTTCAAAGTGCGGGTCAAATCACGATCAAATTATTGTTCCAAGTATGATATTGTATCAAAAGTTGAACGTTTGCAAAACTTTGATAAGTTATTTAAGTTGTGCTCGCAAACCTCAGAGTGATCTGTCTTTTTGGAGTGCATCTCCCGCATATTAGTTCCAATTTGGAAAAAATAAAGCTAAACTATACTTACTTGGTTATTTGGGCGGTCCTTCTTCGCGAGTTGTGCGGACCGCAGGACATTTGCCATTGGTTTCTTTCCGTCGCAATCGTCGTCTGTAGTGGTGGTTTTATTCGAATATAGTGGAACGTGCGAGTCTCATACCGTGATCTGTAAAACAAATGCAGCTACGAGTACAGCCGATTAACTTTCTTTTCTTCAATCTGTCGTCTGTTGTTCTCACTGTGTGACCAGCCCATCTGTGCTGCGCTATCAATCTGTATTCTCCTGGATCCCGAAAATGTGACAAATTTTGAAGATGAGATCCTCGTATTCCAGCTAGTTATTGAGAGTGCCGGTTATATTGCAGAAGACATCGTTTAAGCGCTCTGCGAGCAGTGGGTATTCTTGACGTGGCTGAAGTGTCAGTACATGTCTCTCCACCATAATAGAGTGCTAGAAGGACTGTTGAATCGAAAAGGTTAGCCCGGATTTTCAGCCCTTTCAGTTGGTCGGCTGTCTCTTTGAGAGGTCCGAATGTGGTCCAAGCTGCTCTTATTCTTCTGTCTAATTCCTTTTTCATGTAGTTCTCCATGTTCATTGATCGCCTAAGGTATACTTTTGAGGTGGTATCTACAATCAGAGAGCCATACAGTTCAATTTTTTCGTCTTCTTCCCATGGGTTTTTCATGAACTGAGTTTTCTTCCGATTTACGCGACGTCCGATCTTTTTCCCGTTTTGTTCAGCTCGTCGTTGATCATCGCCTTCGCTTCGCGGCTACTTCCCGAGAAGATGATGTCGTCTGCGAAACGAAGGTTGGATAGGAATTCTCCATCAATACGTATGCCTTTCTTATCCCAACCGAGTGACTTCATTATACGCTGCAGCGCGACACTAAGCAGCTTTGGCGATATTTTGTCACTCTATTGAACCCCTTTTCCTATGGGTATGATAAGAGGTCGATGGAAAAGCTGATTTTCGTAGTTCAGTTCCGATAACATTGAGACAGTGTTGTTATGTAGGACTGGTCTTTCATCTCACCATGGTGTTTCTCTGTATTAAAATTTGACGTGCAAGTTTAGCGCTAACATCTTAGTGCCCTTCTCGTTAGAAACAGCTGCTGTATTATTCTGTTTGTACAATAAGCAAGGAATTCGCCACCAGTTTCATAGAGGCGAACGACACCAGGCATAGCTTTTGTAGTTGTGAAGCTATCGACTTGATTCCAACGTTCAAACAATGTTGGTGACAATGAATTAAAATGAATGCGCGTTTCCGCAGATGTATATGTGCTGTCAATGTGGATTGGTGACGAAAGAAAGCTTGCCTGTAGACAAGCTGGTTCATACAGTTCACTTTATTTTGATTTCTGGAGCAGGTCAGATTTACGGTTCCTCTCAATCAGCTTCATTAATGGAGTGTATTGCTGTCCAAGTAGCACCAGGTCGTGCACTTACTTTTTGAGCATAAACGTCTTAGTAACTGTTTGACTTCTTAATATTTTTTATTCTCTGTGTTGCATTTTCTGATGACTGGTGTTTCTACCCATTGAGAAAAGCTAAGGAAGGTTTTAGGAGAGTTTCAATAAAATTCAGCTAGAGTTCCAATGTAGCGCAGGTCCTCTTTGGTCGACGAGCGCTAATAGGATCGCACTAGTTGCGACACTGTCAAATGCTTCTTGATAATCAAAAAAGGTTAGGACTAGAGGCAAGTGGTATTCCCGACAAACTTCGGTGACTCTGGACGCAGTTTGGATGTGAGCAGTAGAGTTCTTGTCGAAATCCTGGTTGTTCCACTGGTTGCTCCTCATCCAATGTCCTTGATGTGCACGATAGGATTTCTCCGTGAAGAGCCTATGGATTACACTCCACAAGCATATCGGACGATAGTAACGAATACCTCTGCGATCACCTTTCTTGGGCAGCATGACCATGCGCGCCGTCCTCCACTGGTCTGGCATTTTTTTTTTGAAAGTTGAATTTCATTTGATTTGCGAGAAATACATGTAAACTGCGGTTTCTAGCTCTAAGGAAGTCAACAGTGATATCATCGGGGGCTGAAGCTGTGCCTCTCCTCATGCTTTTTATTGCAACTCGAGCCTCCGACAGAGAAATTCCAAGTGGTTTTTCTCCAGCGAGTATTCTAGGGCCTAGGATGGGGATTGTGGAACGGGAAAGGTTGGTGTAAAACGTTTTCATTATTAATTCCATATCATGGTGGGAAGTTTTGGTGATTCCATCTTTATTCATCAGGTCTGGCAGCGGAAGATTAAAATCGCCCAAGTCCCGTCTATATTTTTTTCAGACTGTTTCTTTTCTCCGCTGCTTCGAGTACTTTCTTCTGGCTGTACCAGTGTAGATCTCTTTGTAAAGCTGTTCACCAGCTGGCATTTATTACTAGCCCTGTTAAACATGCTGCAGTAAGATCAAGCTTCAGTTTCCTTCTCTTTTCGAGCAACTCCTTAGTAGTGATGGAGATGCGATCCGATCTTCTTGCTTGTGGAACTGAGGCGAATTCGGCACAGCTTTTCAGTCTTTCGACAAGCAGCTCGTAGTCTTCGGTCGCGTCTTCTTTAATCTGCCAGTCACGTTTGGGCAGGACTTCGTTCAGAATGTTCTCGTCGTATACAGCCAGACTTTTTCCTCGTGGTCGATGAAGAGAGTTCTTCTCCAGCTTGCGGCTGAATCGAATCTTCGCGCGAAGAAGGCGGTGATCGGAACCAGTACAGAATGACGGGACTACCGATGTGTCAAGTAGGCACCATCTTCTCTTTGCCAGAATGTGGTCGATCTCCGCATGAGTCATGCCGTTGGGAGACTCCCATGTCCAACTGCGGCTTTCTTTCTTCTGGCAAAACGAGTTTCCATGGAAGAGACGTGCTGTTGAAAGGAGTCCTACAAGACCGCTCCCATTCTCAGTTGTTTCTCCTGATTGAAAATTTCCGATCCTATATTCGCTCTCGTTGGCCTTCCCTATACTGGCGTTGAAGTCTCCAACAACAAATTTATGATATGCTTTATCATTGCAGATAAATTCCTCCAGCTCATAGTAGAAAGCATCCAATTCCTACTCATCAGCTGTATTATTCGATGAGTAGCAGTTGTTGATTATGATCATCTTATGACCCATCTTGAAGACTGAGGACGGCCATGCAAACGAAGAGGATCTCGAGTCGGCGAGATGGACAAGCGATGGGTGTACGGCAAAGCCGAAACCGTTGATATTTCGTGACGAGACCTTTTTTCCCCGGGTGATAATGGTCCCGTTGTTTAGTTGGCCTGTGTCGGCAAACTAAACATTATTTGAATGCGTAGTTTTCTTGTTAAGTAATCGCGAGGTTGTTATACAACATAAATTTATTTCCATAGAAAAACGCACAATACAATACAGCAGCTGACGTTTCGGTAGTATCGCCTTCTTCAGAGCCGCTTTTTTACGGGTCTTCCAATGAAGCAACTATAATCAGCTGTTCTAATCTTCCTCATTGGAAGTCACGTAAAAGAGCGGCTCTGAAGAAGGCGATACTGTCGAAACGTCAACTACTGTTGTATCGTATTGTCTGTTTTTCTATGGAAGTAAATGCATGCTGTATAACAACCTCGCGATTGCTGAACAAGAAAACGACGTGTTCATATTCCTATGCCGAGGTTAATAGAAAGTCGATCCTATGAACTGTTATTATTTGAAATTTCACACCATTAGGTAGTGTTTCTAAGTGTTTCGATATAATGCGTTAGTTTTTTTTATTCGTTTGTAAAAGTTTATCCATCAAAATGTGTACATATTTCCAGTTGATTGTTATCCGAACAATGATGCTTGAAGCTCATCCTCCTTAGAGTCGCGTGCAGCGCAGTGGTTAGAGCTTCCGTGCAATATACATGAGTTCAATCTCGCACACCAGTCTCACCAAGCCTTGCTTTCTTGCGGGGTCTGCAAATTGGTACCATGTCCTCCGTCTGGGAGGACAAAACCACTGAACCGGTACATCTATAGGCCTCCACGTTTCATTCGTATTGACCAGATATGCATTCAGTCACCTCAAAGGATGCTTATTGAAGTCGATTGCATGGCACATCGTTCAGGGATTGATTTTATTCCTTTACTTGCTCGCCTTTAACATATTCACGTTTATGCTTGTTTTAGTATAAGTGCCGACGATTTTTCGTTGAATAGAGTGCTTGGGACTTGAAAACTGGGACTTTACAAGAGAGATGTGCTATCGTTTACGTATATTTTTTTAGAATGTTTTTTAGGATTCTACCAAACTAAATTTGAAAAGACTAAAACAGTTGAAGTTTCGATTTTTTAACGCGAGAAATGCAGTCGCCAACATTAAAGAAGCGTTAAGGGTTATCACTATGTGCTTTTGGGAGGAATTCTGCTTCTTAAGTTGATCGGCTACTCAAAATAAGCTCCAGGAAATCAAAACTTTATTCTGTTGGAATTATCAAGTTTAAAAATTTTAATAAGACATCTGAAATGAAAATTTCTAAAAATGAAACTGAAAGAAGCAAAGAACAACTTTCACTAATCATGATATACTTGTTTAAAGTTTATTGAGACGTAACCATGCTGTTGTGAATGTGCTAGTTAGTAGAGGCAGCATTGTACTGCAGAAATTTTTGACATTAGTTTATGTCTAAGCAGTTGCTGCATTGTTACATCCTCGTCTTAAGTTATGATTGAAAGCTAACTATTTTTTCGAGATTTAATTTTAGGCAGTTTTTCAACCTACGTTTAAGTTCTGTTCAAAACACCTACTTTTACTCTTATAATGATTGAGCATGTGTAAAACACTGTATTGACGAGCCAATCATTCTTACAACTTTGTTATTCCGACAATGAACGTACCCAAATCCGGTCCATCATTTTGCCAAAGTAGCAAGGTTCTTGTTCTCAGAATGACGACTATTTAGCCTGTAGATCATTTCTGCCCTTAAAATATTATTGGTAGAACGTACTAAGTGTTCGTTATCAACGAAACTACTACTATTTAGTTTCCAGGGTCGACTGTCTATTAACCTCGGCATTGGAATGTGAATGCATCGTTTTCTTGTTCAGCAATCGTAGGTTTTTAAACAGCATACATTTACTTCCATAGAAAAACACAATATAATACAACAGTAGTTGACGTTTCGGCAGTATCGCCTTCTTCAGAGCCTGGAAGTGTATACTGATGTACAATTTACTAGGCCAAACGCTTCAGTAACACTTACAAAAAGACGAAAAACTATGCCAATTACATGAAGAACAGCATCTCAAAAAACTCACCGCTTTTTACGTGACTTCCAATGAGGAAGATTAGAACAGCTGATTATAGTCGCATATGGTTGATGACTGCACCATCCCTTATCAGAAATTGATGCGAACATTGGGGATTAAGTCGCGTATGGTCTCTGGGCATCCTCTGAGAATAACAGGGATGAATGCCCAGCTGTTCTAAACTTCCTCATTGGAAGTCACGTAAAAAGCGGTGAGTTTCTCGAGAAGCTGTTGATCACCTAATTTCCATAGAGTTTTTCGTCTTTTTTAAGTGTTATTGAAGCGTTTGGCCTAGTAGATTGTATATCAGTATACCCTTCCAGACTCTGAAGAATACTGCCGAAAGGTCAACAACTGTTGTATTGTATTGTGTGTTTTTCTATGGAAGTAAATGTATACTGTTCAAATACCTCGCGATTGCTGAACAAGAAAACGACGCATTCATACTACTATTTATTTAACACTTGGGGTTTGATGCTCGATTTCGCTAAGCGGTATCCTGTTGCGAGCCTAATTAAAACCGAACCGAATTTTTCGCCAAACGGTATTTGAGTTGAAATCTATTCTCACCAATCAGTCTGCTCCCCGTACACGGGTTATTTTAAAAGCTGATTTGCAACAGTTTTTTGCTATTTTTTCGTTACAAAAAGCTGTGAGACATTGTGAGAAAAAGCAGAGGTACATTTTAGCACACTTCTTATCTGTAAGTGCTCTGCCTGTATTTTTACACTTCGTATGCTTTTTGTAGAAGAACTTAGATTAGGTAATATTGTGATTTTAGGATATTGGTCTCGGAACAAAGGATGATCATGATATCGCTCACATGATGTGGGACTGTGTTGAGTATACTTATCAGCATCGTGCGTACATTAGGAAACTGTGTACGCTTCTGAAACGTATTGGTAAAACCCCTGAACGCCCACTTCCGTTCCCAACGAGGTAAATAGGATTGAGAACTTGCAGTCTGAACTAGGTTATTCGCATGTGTAATTGTATATATTCATTATATATACATATTTAAACTTATATTGCTTTCTACTTTTCCTTCTATATTTGGAACCGGTATTTGCCTTTTTATAGTCTAATCTGCAGTGCAAATTTCAGTGTGATTACTTTAACTCTGTTGTTTTTCGTTTATTGTTAGCTTATGAACTAAGTAATGTCTTTACGTTGCTAATTTTAATCTTGTCATTTGAAACATAATGCCATTCCTGAATCGATTCACTTGTAGCTTTACCTTATTGATTTTGATTCCTTGCTATGTGACTCCTTACACTTGTTTTTAATTCCTAGAAAATTTAATTCATAATACGTCCGACAAAAACGTGTCACTAGTTAATTATGGTTTTAATTCGTTTTACATTCCACGTATTTTCTCTGCAGAATAATGAATATTTTTATTCCCATTTCATTGCAACAATTCGGTTTTCCGAGGTTTACGTTAGTGAAGGGTCTCTTATTCACTTGTTTTTCCTTTTGAGTAAAAATTGACTCCATTCTGGATTGCTTGACTAAACATGCAGGTTTGGCGTTATAAAAGTATATGTTATTGTGAATGTTTCTTTCGAAATCATTTTTAAAGTGAGTATTTTCGTCATGACTTAAACATGTGCGGAGGTGGAATAGCTTGTAATGAAAATTTTAATAATGTACTTAATTGAGCACTACTCACTTTCGTTCAGCATTTCTCTGACGCTTTCTATCCCTCATGTATGTACTTTAGACATGTATAGCAACTACAAGTGAGATCTCAGGTTTGGTTGTATGCGTTGAAGGCATCCACTTTATTCCATATTCATATTAGCATTTGTTGTCATCCTGACCATATTGGGATCGTTTTCAACTAGCTTTCACTGATCCACGTTTTGGTTATTATTACCTTATTTTCGTTCGGTCACTATTCCCATCACATCTCCGTCTGTTAGTCTCTTTAACTATTTCTGAGGATGCATTGTCTCTCGGTGAGTGTGGTTAAACAACACTTCTGGCAAAGCAAAATCAATCGAAAGCCACACGATGTATGTGTGGAAACGTGGGGTTGATTAGACGGAATGTTACGGGATTGGAAAATTGTCTATAATTAGTAAACAAGGACCGACGTTAGTTGATTCCCACCCACACTGCGCTAAAGAAAGTAGCGGCAGTTTTCAACTTTAACCCAGTATATCTCAGTAGAAAATGAACTTCATTAGTTGGAATCAGGCGAGAAGGTAAAAGCTCTTTTGTTTCACCGTGATAAAGCTCTAATTTTCTGCAGCTCACTAAGTCTACTTTGTGCACCTTTCTTTTATCGAGGAATGTATTTTAGGTGAAATAGACAACTAGCGCTTTCTGGTTGCATGTTTGACCATTCGTGCTATGTCGAAAATCCAGGAAACTTTGTCCAACCTGTAAATTTCTAGTATATTAGAATCTTTGCTGAAACCCATGCGATTTGTGAAACTGGATTATCGAGCTACACCTTTATAACCTGTCGTCTCGTTGATCGTGGAGTGACCCGAGCGGGCGTCAGTAAGTCTTCTGTTTTTCCCTGTCACGTGCAAGAGTAGCCCAGTGGGTTCTGTTCGAGCTACACATTAATCACATATGTGACTCATCATGTGTGCACAAAACAGTGGTTTTATCATGTGTTTATAAGCTTACACGAGGTTTACAGAGATGTATTCGGCTAATGTTTCGACTTCTTCATCTTCGTCAGAGCCGAAGATCCTTGTCGATGGTCCACAGTTTTTCCTCTTCTCGATGTGGCGTCTTCATCTCGCATCGAACCGGATCTTGCTCAGTTGAACATCTCGAGTGTGCCATACTCACCCGCCGACGCTCTTTTATACAGGGCGGTTGTTGTTGATATGATTATCAATTGGTGATAATTTGTTTTCCAATGGTTAATCCACCTACAGCAGTCGGTATTTTGTTAGCTAGGACATCGCGAAAAGCAAAAGAATAATTTTGGAACCGACCGTCATTAACCTCAGTAGTAATATAATCAACATGTGTTTATATTTCAAAATTATTGTGGCTCATGTCGTTGCTCACTGCTAAAGGAGGTGGATTGGTCCAGAAATGATTCACTAATTTGATCGCAAAAGTGGTAGATAGTTGCGCAATTGGCAAGTATGAGTCCAGCGTTAGTACTAGAAATTTCTTACGTAGATTTATTCTTGATATCAGTTGTTTTCCTCTTCAGCAATCGCAAGGTTGTTAGACAGCATACATTTACTTCCGTAGAAAAACACAATACAACACAACAGGAGCCGACGTTTCGGCAGTATCGCCTTCTCCAGAGCCTGGAAGGCTATACTGATATACAATTTACTAGGCCAAACGCTTCAACAACACACAAGAAGACGAAAAACTCCATAGCAATTACATGAACAGCAGCTTCTCGAGAAACTCACCGCTTTTTACGTGACTTNGAAACTCACCGCTTTTTACGTGACTTCCAATGAGGAAGATTAGAACAGCTGATCATAGTCGCATATGGTTGATGACTGCACCATCCCTTATCAGAAATTGATGCGAACTTTGGGGGTTAGGTCGCATATGGCCTCTGGGCATCCACTGAGAATAGCAGGGATGAATGCCCAGAACTCATACGCGACCTGACCCCATATGTTTGCATCAATTTCTGATATGGGATGGTGCAGTCATCAACCATATGCGACTATGATCAGCTGTTCTAATCTTCCTCATTGGAAGTCACGTAAAAAGCGGTGAGTTTCTCGAGAAGCTGCTGTTCATGTAATTGCTATGGAGTTTTTCGTCTTCTTGTGTGTGTTGTTGAAGCGCTTGGCCTAGTAATTTGTGTACCAGTACACCCTTCCAGGCTCTGGAGAAGGCGATACTGCCGAAACGTCAGCTCCTGTTGTGTTGTATTGTGTGTTTCCCTATGGAGGTAAATGTATGTTGTCTAACAACCTCGCGATTGCTGAAGAAGAAAACGACGCATTCATATTCCAATGCCGAGGTTAATAGAAAGTTGTTCCTGGGAACTTGATGTCAGTAAAATTGTAGCAATTCCCAAGACCGACTTTCTGTTAACCTCGGCATTGATTGATAATTCGATGTTTTTCTTCTCTTGAGGTATTTTGGATCAATTCAAAAATGGACCGCAAGGACGAGTGTCTTGTCATCACGTGTGACTTGGAGCTGTACATTAGGCTGATTTTCTCTGTTTGTTTATGTAGGCGTTTGGCCGAATAGATTGCTGTTAACTTGACCTTTCCAGGCTCTGAGGAAGGCGAAACCGCCGAAACGTCAGCTATTGCATGCTAATAAATTCTATAATAACAACAACTTCGTGTCTGCTTATTGAAGAAAAACATCGCAGTATCAGTGAAAATGATTGCGCTAAATAACCTGTTTTTGAGAACAGTGGATCTTTGTTATGTGAGAGATTTTTGTCCGGTTAGTCACGCGACTAAATGCTCTTTCACGAGGTGATACATAGCAAATTAAGCGAGAATCAATAGCGGACATATACTTGCGCTGAAACGTAGGTGGGTTTCCGATATCTGATAGAGTAACTTATACACTGAAGAATGTATGGATATTTATGTTCGCATGTATGAATGCGGATATTAGAATTGCATCTCGTGTATGGATACAACCAAAATTCTGCAATCGCCTGCAAATATATTTTAGAAGTATAGCGTAGGTGTTCCCAGTTCGCCTTTAATAAGAGAGTCCTCACGTCCGCTTTACGTAAATCCTGCAAACTAGCTATGACTATGGCTTCCTCCCACGGTATACTGTGGCGATCGACTAAGTGCCCTATTGCTAGGAATAGTAAGGAAATCTGAGTCAGCTAGTCACAAAAAGGCCTGATACGATAACGCTGGGTGCTGCTAATATGAAGAGGCTTCTGAAATCTCGAAGCCATATCGAAATTAAAATTTCTAAGGACAGTGACTACGATGAGTTAGTACCTAGTTGCAATGAACCTGTTGATGCGAAAGGATCAAGTACAACGTCGTGTGATGAATCGAGACGGAGAGACAAGACCCATTATTTCCCACTAATATATAAATTGTCCTTTCTCACACTATGTTCTTGGCCCAATATTTCCTTTATTCGTTTCGTTGTCTAGCAACTAACCACTACCTACAAAAGTGGTTGGATTCGTGTGTGGGTGTGTGCGCATGTTGAGCATCTGTTGTCTTATCACCAAAAATGTTAGCTGGGAGTAACTTTCGCTGGAATCGTGGAATACCCGAACTTCCAGACGTTCCCATGTTTTCACCTTAATCGTTTGACCTTGCGGTTGTTGTTTACTGTTTTGTTGCGAATAGAATTCTTTTAGAATGGTAGTGACTCCTGCGATTAATTGACCGACCGGCTGGGAACGATGTAGAGGGCCTAATCCACTTTACCATGTAGGTTTTTCTGGCGGATTTCTCTTTCGCCATTAAGTCTTCTTGACTAATCGAGTCCTTAAAGTCTATGAATAATTCGTTTTTCATGCTTTATAATTTTTTTGAATAGTACAGCGTTCATTCTGAATCAACCATAAAATTCAACTAGCTTTACAACCACAACGTTGCTGAGATATTTGCAAAACTCTGGACCGCAGGTGTCTATGGTGGGGAACAAACGCGCTATTATCCTTTCTGGGGAGTAACGCGTTCACCACCACACCATGCGGGTCCTTTGTTTCGTCTGTTTCTCAGCTATTTCTATCGATCTTTTTGCCACAGCAATCACCCGTCAGAACAGTTTTCGGCGATTTCGAGTGTGAAAAGAATATGTTGCCTCGGTCTGCTCTCGCTACAGTATCTGTTTTTGGGAAGCTGTCAATTGGGCTAAAAAGAAATTTTACTGGAAGTATTACGAAAAATTTTACGGAAAAAAAACGAAGAAACGGTGTGCGCTAGAGGAAACAGCTGGGTAGCTGGTGAGTTTTGCATGACATATCGACAGTTATTTATTATGATTACACCGCGTTTACTCGTTGGATCCATATCGGCAGTACGTTGAAGGAGATTAGACACCTTACAAAACTTCTCAATATGTGTAGCTATATCAATGATATAAGAACTAATCTTTTCAATTCTCAATTTCCAAGGAAAAGCAGACTGTGAGAGAACTGGCGGTAGTGCTTCGGAGAATAAAACATCATTAGTTGGTTCCATCGATTTGGAAATTTTGGGAGTCTATGGCAGATAGGATGGAAAAGACAATCAGTTTCTGTTTAAGAATTGGATTTTTTAGGTTTGAGTCGTGTCGACTAAAGACGAGCTGAACTTAGTTTTTGAACGAGCTTCATTGAGTGTGAACAAAACGAGGCTGAAGCCATTAAGAGCACTGGAGAGTCTCTTGTGCTAACTATCAAATAATTTTAGATAAAGAATCAGATGATGAGGACGAATAAAGTCGTTATGAGGTCAGTGGCGGTTGTCAAACTGTATAGTGTCTTGCGACACCTTCGGTGACAATGAAGTCTGATATGCATCAACAGTTTCTACGTGGACGCCACCCGGAACCGACACATTTCATGAAATATTTGGAACTTATATTTTTAAACGCGTTCTGAAAAGGAATAAACGTGAGAATCGATAACTTCAGATCGGAGACTGCAACATTTCATGGAGGAACAGTTTGCAAAAGAACGGTCAAACTCAAGTTTAGCAAAAAAGGTAATTGCAAATGAAGTTTTATAGCGAATGAACCCTTATTATTGATAGTGAACCTTTTAGAGCTGTTGTGTTTTAGTTGGTAGTGATGGGACACATGGGTACGCTGCTGGATGAGGGCACATCCATCATCCGATAATTGGTGCACGATTTTCACGTTAGCTGAGAGCTTACTGCAATGTCAGCAAGCAATTTGACAAGTAGAAACTAAGATGAGGCGAATTGAGGGCTTAAAAGAGTTTTCGATACAAATCGATTACTGTTTCCAACAAACAAATTCCAATAGGTTCCAATAAATTGATCTCTACCTATATCATCTTTCTGTTCGTATTGTTCCAGTACAAGTCCGAAATGGTGCAAATTGTAAAGGTTTCAGTTTGTCACCATTGCAAATTGCTTGTGAAAACCATAATTCGTAAACTGTAGATTGTGAACCAATTTTTCTAAGGTCGACTTTTACAGAAATAGTAAATGTTTGTGGAAATAAGATTTTAAGATGTTTACATGGCTTTCAAAGATAGATCATGCAAAGGTAAATATGAGAAACAGAACGCCTGTGTGAATGCCTAGCCCGTGCAGAATCAATAACTTGTGGGAAGCCAAGTGTACATCTATATTTTTAACCTCGTTTACACTTTCATGAGTAGTTCACTAATTGATCGTCGGCAAAGAGCTGTTCCTGATCTTCGAACGTTGATATACATGCAAATCAGAGACCTCTTAACATCGTCCGTATCAACAACACTGTCGATTCAGAAAGGATGTAAGACTGATGCCGCCTTTGAGACTAAGAGCCATTCCTTTGAGACCCGCCGCAAAATTCGAGCGTCAATCTGCCACGAAGGTGAGGACGATCTATTTTCCTTAAATGCTCACCATCTGTAATTTCAACACCAGCGCTGACCGCAGAAAAACATCGTAGATGTCCCACATCGTAACTCATGAATTGAAATGGAATGAATAGAATGAAGTTATCTGATTTCATTGTAACAATCAACATCGTCCATGGAATCTCATAGCTCCAGAACACTTCGGTCTGCGGAGTTTTGCAAATGCCTCCGAAATCTTGTGGTTGGATTTCGCTTAATACTCTGCCATAAAAATCATAGAAGGCAGAAAATAAAAAGTAAACATTGTGGATCTTGTAGTGTTAAGAGGAATGTTGCATTCGAGGAGAAGCCTTGTTTTAAGAAAAGTTTTCCGAACAGCGCTAATTCCATACATATTTCATTTGCTTGATGGAACTTTTCAATATGTCTCCGTTTTTCATGTTTATTTTCAATTTCCTGCAACAAAACAGATACTCTAAACCATTAAATTATGTGGGTTGTTAAAATTTATAATCGAGACAGCAATTCAGAAGAGAACTGCGTAGTTGACTGACATGTATTGTGATCGACAGATGAAAAGAGAAGTTCTTGAGTAAAAGCGGTCTGATCAAACAAAGGTATACATTCTCATTTACTGTTAGAAACTTTTAAAAAACAATAAGAACACTTAATTTGAAGAGGAGCAAGAAATGTAGTCTGCATGCTAGGTACTAGTCTGCAGATTATTTAGCAAAGTAGTGCACATTGCTAAAACTAACATTGCTGCATAGGAAATGTACAAGACGATGTAGCATGTGTTTCGTTACATTCACTTATCTGCTTTTGGAATATGTGGTAGGCTTGCGTTGTGTCGACGAACTCAGTTTAACATATCCTCCGATGTCAGGTGCTCTGACTCGAACGCACAGATTGCTTACACGCAGTAGTCCATCACACATTGCCCATCGCCACCTTAACTTCTCACCACGACCATTTTTTAACAAGTAAATATTCTTCTACTTTTTATGCCTATTCGTTATCAATTATTGCATCTCTACATATAGATTTTTAGTCGTTATTAAAGTCGGCCAGGTGTAAGTGTAACAGATTCCTCCGAGAGAAGTATTGCTCGAGCGATTCGAGATCGTAGTAATGATGTAGATGTTGTGTGAACCCCTTGCGAATGTTTGACACCATCGTAGCAATAGTTGTTGTCTGTGTTCGAAACGATGATCTTATTTGAAATGGTGTTTTAAGAATAATCTAGTTCATGGCGAAAAACAAGTCTAACAGTTGAACGTTTGCAGCAATTCGTGAATGCTACTTCATCATATTGGTTTCCAGATAGTTCACGCACTTAGGTTTTCTACCTTGCCTATGATATGTGGTCCATTTTTATCCCTATTTCCACCTAATGAACGTTCTTTGTAAAGTGCACGAGCGGAGTGTTCGCTGAGATAATTTTCTACTACCAGGCGTGCTTCAAATTTTAGAACGGCATTAGTAAACATTGAATGGTCTATATTTTTTGTGTCTTTGGATAATGTTCCTCTAAAGTGTTTTTTAAACAGAATATTAAAAGCTAAGAAGTGATTCGAAATTAGTTAATATATTCCGATGCAAAATAGAACCACCATTTCACTGTGGAACTACTTGGAATTCTATTATTTTCTGGAATCTGAATCGTTCGTAAGATGTAACAAAGGAAGGCGAACTGGAAGAATATCTTCACAAAAGCGATCAAAATCGTCGTGTGGTGGTCCAGAATTCACCGTCACGGCACGTTTTGTGAGCCTTCAAAGCTGGGAACAGAAGATTCTTTCTGTATCTTCACTGAGTGCCAACTTTGTTCTAAGCTCATTGAGATCTTGTCGCCATGGAGCTTTTAATTGCTAGCGCGTTTTTTAAAAAATCTTCTGTACGCACTAAAATGGGAAAGCTATGTATGGCTGTACTTGCTTAAGTTTTTTGTTCAATATTGCAAAGGAAATTAATGTCATAGCAAGCACGCTTTACACGTCAATTCATTCGAACCTCTTTTTATCGACATTTATTGTGGTGAGGTTACTTAACAACATATAAAATGCAAGTATGAGATATTACGTTTCCTCACGTGCTATATAGTTGTCGGGCAACATAAATTTGGTTCTACCTAATTACACAGCTCAACGGCTGGCAAATCAGAAATACCAAGCAGCTGTAGAGTCCTCTCCTAAATGCCGAAGTTGAATTTTACTTACTCATCTAAATCTGATTCTTTTCTCATTGTTTAGAGTACATAGCCGGCATATGCGTGATAGTTCTCTCTTCTTATTTTGTGCACTGTTTGACCTGTTTATGCCCATCTACCATATTGCTCAGCCGTTTGTTCTATTTACAGTCGACGATAATATAAAGATATGACAACGATGTGATGGAAGGTCCCATACATCCATGTTATCACAGTGTATTAGCGCTTCCGAAAAGCCCGGTGTTTTGGAGGAATCAATGGAAGTAAGTGATGTTGAGTGCTTGGTTACTGGCAATAAAATTGTTGACTTTTCACGTGACTGCGATCTCGAACGTGGATTAGTAGCTTTCAGAAAGGTGAAGACAAGAAATTAAAAGGCGATTTTCTAAAAATGGACCGTTCTTCATAAAAAAAGGCAACGTGGCACCAGTGTAATTTTTAGTATTAGGTATCCACCATCGTAAAAGATCTAGTTATTTATGTTTACCTTTCACTACTTCTTATTTAGTTTGAGATTGCTCTTCCCAGTCTATGAGGCACAGAGTGCTTTTTAGGATCAAGAGACTAGCCGATTGTGAACATTTCCATTATCCTGTGGTCGAGCTTGGTCCCATTGAAATCTCTTTGATATCTATAGTTAAGAATCAACAAACGATTTTTATTTTTCTGATTGAAAGCAATGGAGTTTCATGGTAAGAATTATTCGAATATTCCTCTCTAAAATTCATCTTAACGAAGCCTTCGGAATCAACCTTCATATAATCTTATGGTACTGCTATAGACATAATATTGTCGTGAAGTGACTCTATTTTGAGGAAGATTTCTCGATCGTTATCCGAAATGTCAAACTTCGATCGACAACTGCACCGCTGTGTGTTTGAGAGACGTTTTTCGCGTTTGGAAGAGTTGGATTTTTTGGAAACTTCGGATGAGGATAGTCTAAAGGTAATGCCTGACAATGCTCAGTTTTCAAGCACTTCTAAACATAGCTTAAGCAATTTTAATCTTCAGTAAGCGTGGTTTTTATGCTCTGAAAATGAAAAGAAAAGTTCGCATTTAGTATCGACAATTCCGAAAATGTGCATTAGTTTCCGAAAAGGAGAGAGTTCTTTACGATGAAGATAAATTAAAAACCAATGAAATAACTCTGGCAGATGACTTCGCCCTCTGTGGATCTTCATTTTGAAGATGTTAACATCACTGATATGTTGTTTTCTCCTCAACACTTGCCCTTGTAAACAACAATATATCTTTACAGGCGGCACAAGTAAAGGGGAGGTTTGATGAGAGGAATTATTTAAGTCGGTTACACCCTGAGTTACGTTGTAGCTCATTGTTAAGTCCGCATATGTTCCTTTATACTTGTAAATAGGGTAGAGATACAGTAATTCTCTATGTACGAGTTTTTTTCTATAGGCATGTTTGACAGTGACATGTTTTCATAGAAACCACTTTATTGTGGCAAAAAAGAAATTATGGAAATCACTTCTTCTGTTTCTGTTAACATATACAAATATTTAAAAGAATCTTTGGACGGAGGAACGAGAGGCTTTCTTTCTGATTACAGAAGATTATCGAGCGATATGCTAACAGGCTTTCTCAGCTTACTGGTAGCATAATTACTTGCTATCCCGTGCTGAAATTTCTGGAAGTGAGCAATAATTTTGGTTGTCAATTCGAATGGCTTTCTAAATGAGTGGTTTTCATCTGATGTTTTCGAAATAGATCGACTGTCACGGGAGTCATTTCGCACCAGCTGAGGACACCGCCATCAATACGCCTGCTGTTGCAGCTGCAGTCGTCACGAAGAACTTCGTGCCCACCTCGGAGAACCACCTCCGTCTCCGGGTGCGAAGATTTTATTCTAATTGATTCTTATTCTTAGCTAAGAAGTATACGGTTGAGTGGACAAGCTCAAATATGTCGGTTTATAATTAAATATGGCACTTTCGGCTGAAAAACCAAGTACATTTGAATTAAGCGAACAAGTTAGGCAGTTCAGGTTGGCGACATTTTGTCAATAATTGACATGAACTGTGGACAACAAAATGATGTTACGTATTGGAAAGCGAAGTTAACAATCGCTAGGAAAGATGATGATGACAAAACAGAAAACAGAATGGTTGAAGTATGTATTTTCATGATCAATTAATTTGTCGGAGTTTGTAAGCACCTTCAATTTCGTTATTGTCTCACATTGTTGTCATGCAGGATAGTGTTAATATTATTTTTATATGAAATTCAGGTTGGTTACTTTCCTTCTGACTGTGTCCGCCTTATAGACGATAAGCGGCTTCCGGAACATCTTTCATCCCCCAGCAAGGTAACTAGAATGCCTGCCTCACATCAGAATTTGCTTGCATACAATATTTACTTTAATTAGGCCTGATATTTTTTTTAATACGCAAACACAATCCGAGGACAAATTCGGTTGAGCAGAGTGTTTCTTTCATGTTCGTGGTTACTCGTCTAGAATATATAATAATATGTGCATGTCTGAATTGGAGTAGTTTGGGAAACTTTCATCACTTCACAACATGACGTTGAATTAAAGTCACTTCTTTTACTCGGTTGGGTATGAAATGATGGTGTTCCGAATGATTTAACTTTTTATAATCGATTTTTCATTCATTCTCAGTGTGTAGTTGAATAGCCTAAAACTATGATCCCTTTACAGGTTTCTATAATAGGAAATCGTCGCATGTCCAGGTTACTGAAGTATCGTGTCCGTCTTCGCGACCCTGTATTTGGAACTCCTCTAGTTGACCACTTAGAAAAAACCGGTAGAAAAGGTGAATAAATTCTTTTCGGTGCATCGTTTTCTTTTTCAGCAATCACGAAGTTGTTTTATAGCACACGTTTACAACCACACAAGAAACACATTCAACACAACAGTAGCTGACGTTTCGGCAGTATCGCCTTCTTCCGAGCCTGGAAGGGTACACTGATACGTAATTTAGGAGGCCAAACGCTTTAACAGCACAATCATAAAGATGAAAATCTGAACAATAATTGCACGATCATTGGCTTTTCGAAAACCCACTGTTTTTCCTGCCTTCCACCGAGGAAGAACAGCTGCTTAGAGCCGCCTATGGTTGATGAGTGCACTACTCCACTTCAACAATCAATTCTGAGATATGGGGCTAGATCATGCGTTATCTCTAGGCATTCTTCCTTGCTATTCATTCTTGGATTCTTGACATTTATCTAAGCTTTTCGAGGCTTTTTGGATAAATGCCAAGAATCAGAGAATGAATAGCAGGGAATAACACCTAGAGAGCGGCTGTTCCTTCTTCAGTGGAACACGTAAAAGAAATGGTGGGCCTTTCCTGAAGCTGTTGATCATTGATTACCATGTAGATTTTCATCTTTCTGTGTGTGTTACTGAAGTGTTTGGTACAGTAAATTGCATATCAATAATGCCTTTCCTAGCTCTGAAGAAGGCTGTACTGCCGAAACGTCAGCTACTGTTGTATTGTGTGACTTTCTACGGAAGCAAATGTAAACTGTATAACAACCTCGCAATTGCTGAAGCAGAGAGCGACGCATTTATAACCCAGTGTCGAGGATAATAGAAAGTCGATCCTGGGAACAATTCTCCTTGGTAAGTGTCTATTTTGTTTCCTAACCGGAACGTAATGAATTCCATGCGAAGTTCTCTGTTAGTGGGATCACTTTCATTGCTATAACATTGAAGAATAAACAAGTAAACAGACAATGTCCTTTTGAAATTCTTACTTTGTAATGGTTAGGCCTTCAATTTCAATAGTAAGTTTCTGTTTCAGTTCCACTGATTGTTGAAAAGTGCTGTGAAGCTATTGAACTTCAAGGTGTAGTGACAGGAATTTATAGACAATGTGGAATACAATCAAACATTCAAAAACTGAGGTAACATAAGTAACGAGTTTTCATATCTTATTTTTATCATAGTTCGAACACAATGTGTATCGTTTCTCAAGTTTCAGGGCGCAGTTTGATAATGGTGGTGATCCGGACCTTTTTGAGTTTGGACAAAGGGATATTTATTCGGTTTCATCTTTATTAAAACAATATTTTCGACTGCTTCCAAACCCATTGTTCACATTTCAGTCGTATTCAAAAATTTTGGTGGGTTTTTTAGCAATGAGTTTTGAACATTCTTCTGAAGTCACAATGTTTACTCTTTATTTTTTGCCTTCTGTAGTTTTTATGGCAGGGTATTAAGCGAAATACGACCACAAGATTGTTGAGATATTTGCAAAACTCCGGACCGCAGGTGCTTGCGGTGGAGAACTAGCTGAGAGACAGGCGAAACCAAGGGCCCGCATGGTGTGGTGGTGAACGCGTTGCTCCCCGGTTAGGACAGTAGCGCGTTCGTTCCCCACCGCAAGCACCTGCGCTACGGTGTTCTGCAAATATCTCAGCAATCTTGTGGTTGTATCCTTCTGAAGCTTTTATTTTTTTTTGAAACAGTTAGAATTGAGCACTAGTCTCGAGTTGTTTCCATCACAGAAGACTTCATAATTGATTTACCTCCTGTCTTTTTTTCCGTTCTGGAAGTCATCTTTAAAATCTAATATCAATGCTATGAAGTAAACTCTTTTTCCATTCTTCGAATCACTTTCTTCACCTATCATTCTGCTGATAGTCGAGTGACTTAAGCGAGCGCTAATAAAGTCACCATTTGTTCCTACTATAAGAAACAGTGGCATATTGTGCTCTGTTCGCTTTAGAAACTCGCTAAGTATTTCTCTTCCTAGATCTTCGCGACGAATTCCGATCATCGGATTGGTGCTTTTATTGTTCTGTCCTTAACATCTCATAGAATTCGGTTATTAATGGGGCCTAAATGGTTGTTGTTCTTACGCATCATGTGTCGTTCACCTGATTTTCAACATTTTGATGTGCACAATGGTGTCTCTGGGTCTTTGATCATTGGCGGATTTCGGAACTTTCTATTCACTCCTTTAGTTGAGTGGTATGGGATACTCCATGATCTCATCCGTGATCTCAGTCTTGTAATCGGCTAGGTCGCACTGGACTCTGAACATGTCCTTCCCAATCTCAGTAGCTTCGGCCATCATTGCTGCTTTTTTTTCTGTTGGTCAACATGATGATTTCGTGCCGCCATTCATGTCCACATGCTATATAATGATATAAAGTCCCCGATATGGAATTCTTGGGAAATTGTCTTGGATGCAGTCTCAGCGTTGGAGTTGCTAATGGTAACCTTGAAGAAGGCATGGCCTAGTTTCTGTAACTACTCCAAACCGATGTAGAATCCTTCAACCTCATCTTCTTTACAGCTTTACGTGGATGTGTAGGTGATGGAGATTATTATGGCCACTACTGATCAATGTCTGTTCAGCTTTACGCATCCGATTCGGGTTGCTAGTTGTTTGAATGACTCAATGTTCATGGTCAATTTCGTGATGACGAGAACGTTAATGCTGCCGACTCCTCTACTGTAGCATGTTCCGAGGAACTTTTCTTCTCCAGTGTAATAGATGGCGTCGAATAGGCGGTGTCTTCTCTGGTCATGGCCAGTCCAATAACGTCGTATCTAGTCCTCTTAGCTTGCACCATCAGGTTCTCAATGGATAATGCGGGTACAAGTAATCGTACACTATAAGCCCAGGTCGTCAGCTTAGTCTTCCAAGATTTAGGCATTCTAGAATATCGCTGCGTCCCAACGGTTTTCCGCCTCATCATGGCTGAGAGGTGTTTCTGTGTGTCGGGTTGCCATTTACAGCGAAGGAATCGTCGCTCGGCAGGGTATCGCTAGCTGAGAAGGAGTCCGGCGTATTCATCAGGAAGCCTAGCTATGAGTAAACCAATACAAGGATCGACCACTGTACTGGTATCAAATTAGTCTCATGGTGGCAAATCTCCCTCTGATTCACAAGGACGGCGACTACCTGTGGTGGTGAGGACCTGAAGCAGCTTTTGGTCAAGCTGACCTAGGGACACAGTGGCTAAACCAGCAAAATTTCGAAGAATGGGGATTGTGATGGGGCTCGCACAACCAGTGAGGGTGGACCACCCAAGTATCCTGTTAAGTATTCAGAGGACAACGAGAGTGATGATTTAACAGTGCAGGACGATGGACCTGCTCACAATCACTAGGCAGTGTATCAAAAAAAATGTAAGATAACTAAAGAAATGGGGTAGAATGGCATACGAGTTGCGATGAATTTTCCTATCTACACTTAAACAAACCTACCAGGCGACTATATAAATCAAAAAGGTGGCGACGCTAGTGCGACGCATTCCTGTTCCAATGAGAGGAAGCAGGATGTTTGTCAAAAGGCTATGAGGATATGTGGAAACATGAAAAAAGAGAATGACTAGACATCATGGGAAATCGTAGTGCATGCCGTAACTGTGATTAAGTTATTATCAAGAGTCAAATTATAAAGGAAGATCTTGTTGAATGCACAATAAATATGAACACTACACACCTACCTACATGAGAAAACGCTGTTCGCAAAAACAGTAACTCATTCCACTTCAACTTGAACTTTTAACAAGCTCTTTGTCAAATTTTCAAAGAAAATAGGAAAAATGACAACAGCACCACTTCAGAAAGAATCTTTAGCGATATCCGATCAACCAAAGCCGCAGGACCCGTTCATTTTTCATTTCAGTAGCAAACTTACAGTCAGCGTCCAACTTTTGATACCACGAGAGCACGTTCTGACACCACGAAGTTGAACACTACAAAGAATCCTTGTGACGTTTGATAAGGTTTATTCGTTAGCTTCTCACCAACTATTTAGAAGCCAAAGGGGACAGCCTCGTTTAATTTACTTTGTTTGGGTATTGACGCTCACCGGTAGTTGCCAGGTCATAGAGTGGGAACTGGATATAGACATACTCTCCTGGACTAGACGTGGAGTTTATTTATTAGGAATGACTTCCCATCACCTTGCATCTACTTTCTGTGCATTTTATGCTGGCTTTTAACTGAATTAGTTTGTAGAATGGAATATGAATAAACCTCAACGTAGCCACACACGCTTGCACGAACGTGTCTAACTGAGCACAGAAAAGTGTCAAGTTGGCGCATCAGAAATAGTGCGTTCTTCTTTTAAATGGACTAGCACCTCAGCGAACCAAAAGGTCGCCTTTGTTCCATGTTTAGCCTTCTATCCGCCACATTGGGGTGCGCAACCTGGTTTCCGAACTAGCCGACAGCGACCCCTTTCGAATAAAGATCCGGAGTATCTTCGAGTAGGAGAATTATGTGCAAGAAATTTACTACAATACAATTAACTCATTCTGTGCTAGTGTAAAAGGCATCACTATAAATGTAATAATTTTTGGTTGTTTGTTTTCAGTCTGCGTTCGAGTGTCCGGATGATGGCAAAGCTCTTAAATTACGAAAGGTGATCGAGACCATGCCAGTGTCTCACTTCCGGTACAGTATTAAATACAGAATCCATTAATCATTAGCACATTAAATACCGAGTCACTATGACTTGTAGAGTGCAGTATCAGTCTAATTTGAGTATTGGTTACCTTAATACTTTCATCCCTTACAGTGAGTTGGTTTTGCTTCGTAGGTGGATGAAGAGTTGCTGTCGTAGATTATTTGGCACTCATAGGTAGCCGTAAATATTTTCGCCTCTCAGATGTATATAAATACCTCGCAGCTCAAAATGAATTTTCTTAGTAGGGATAGAACTTTGGGATTCTACAGATTTTTGGTAATACGATACAACTCTTATTATTCTACTATAAGGAAATCCTACTTGCTTTTTTAACATCGAGATTTATATTTCGTAAACAGAAGCAATTGGACAACTGGGATTTCACTGTTTGTGGCTGCCGAATTTGAATTCAAATTCTTAAAAAACCAAAGTTTTATTTTAATCTTTTTAAGAACTTCAAAGTTTAAAGTTATATTAACACTTTGAAAGTAAACACATGCATTCCTAGTGCGAGTATTTTTCTGCACAAAGCAAGTAATCGTTAAAATTGTGTTACATTGCTCTCAATATGTGGTTGAAAGGAAGTGAACTAAGCACTAAACCTAATGAAAGCTTCGTTTCCAGTTAGATCGCACCTACGTTCTTCACGTACTGCTCATTCATAACGACTATTAATGCACTGCAGACGCCGCTAGCGCTTTCAATAGTCTAGGTTTTTTTGCGCAAAAAAAATTGCATGACTAGTCTTTCGCATCTACTGTGAGGATGCGAACACATATTGCATTGGATTTCAATCGTTAACGAATATCTTCCATTCTAACTTTTTGCGTGCCAGTTTGACTGCTGCTGGAGGATTTTCTTTTTGTCATGAGTCTCAATGAACGATGGTCGAGTCGATTCTACCTGGACTCAACCTGGACTCATGATATAGCCAGGCTAGAGCGCTCCCACTTTGAGTGCAGAGAGTGTTTTTTTCGCAGAACAGTCTGAGACCGAACACAGAGAAGCGAGAGGCTTGATGAACCTGGGATGGGTCAACCAGCATCGTGCTCGTGATGATGGGCACCAGTTTATGAGTCAGAAATTTAGAATTACCCATTGGGAAAAGCTGTGCAAAAGACGTGCTCGTTTCGTACATTTGTAAGCGTTAGGTTTCTAATTAGAACAATTTCGTCTTGAACTTGAACTTGAACGGCCCGTCATCGCTAGTTGTGGGGGCCCCAGCATAATCACCATTTTTCGGGGATTTGCTGGTTAAGCTATTGAGGTTTCCTGGAATCCCGAGGACAGCCTGGCCAAAGTCTGTCCCAGACCGTAACCACGACAGGCAGCCGCAGCCATTGTGGATCAGAGGGAGATTTACCACCATGCGACTTTAATACCAAGACGGTGGTGGATCCTGGTATTGGTTTACTCTTAGCTAGGCTTTCTGATGGAAAGACCAGACTCCTTCTCAACTTGGGAAACCCTGCAGGGGGAACGAATCCCTCCGCTGTACATTGCAGTCTGACACCCAGGAACCCAGGAACACCTTCCAGCCGTGATGAGTCGGTAAACCGTTGGGAGGATAATTTCACCAGTAATCTTGTTTTTCAATACATTCACCGAATCAATTACATGAACGCATTTGAGTTTAAAAACCTTTATAAATAATGCATTCGCAGCCGTTGTTCTTTTTGATCAAATAGTGTTGTTTATCAATCTGTCGCTTACAATTTATTGTTGGCATTTCTACTATTAGTACTAAATTTTCGCCTGTTTCGTTTGCACATCTCCACCTGTTGATCGTCGTGTAACTTGAGTGGGCATTACTGAAGTATCCCTAGTTCGTTTATGCCAGCCGGAATTACATGAGTGCTGCTTCCTCGAGGGACTTAAGGGTCATCAAATTTTAGGCGTAGAATGTTCTCTACGGAGTTTAAACGCATCATTGGCATGATTTTCGACATCTTGGTATGTTCTGCAGCGCCAATTAGTTTTGCTCGCAGACGTAAGTGAGGTCTCTGCATTTTATCCTACTTGTATAGCGTAGGAGAATCGTGACGGCATTTTCTGTGCTTGCTTGCATAGCTGTCCTCTGCACAATATTTCATCAATCCAGTGTTCACGAGACTGATACACAATATTTATGGAAGGCTGAAAGCAGTTAAATTGATCGATAGTTACCGAAGTCGTGTATGCGTCTAGTCTTGTAAGGACCGGACACAAAAAAGTTTTCATTGTTTTTTGGTTGTCACATTTCCAACGAACCTTGCTAGTGCTGCCCATATTTCCTCTCATTTTGGTCTATTCTGCCACTATCTTTTTAAAGACGTTTTATTACTAGAAGTTTCTAGAAATAAGCATCTTTTTGCGAGTTTATGGCTCTAATATTCTCTTTGGGCGGCCTACCTCAAAGGTTTTAAATAAGTTGAACGTCGATATTGTTTCGATAGCAGTATACTCCCAAACGAGGTGATTCACAATTCCAAAAGACATTTTCTCGACATTGGATGTGGGAATATGAAATGGAAATTGTAGTAGTAGAACTGAATATACGAAAAAGGTGAAGGATTTTATAAACCTTTGTCCAGACCTCCTGAACTTTTCCCAATGTACCACAAATGATCGGACCCTTTATTTTCACAAGGTTTTTCCTTTAATGGAAAGTAATGAATAAAATTAAGAAAACGACAAAAGTTAAAAAGTAAAAGCTCTCGGCGTTAATCAATCTCTGATGGACGCGTCATGCATTCGGCTTCATCGAGTATCGTTGGAGGCGTTTGAATGCATATCTGGCCTTTACAATGACTCGCGGTGATCTACCAATGTATCGAGCCAGTGATGCTATCCTCCCAGAGAAGTCTGGTACCAATTTGCCGACCCCGGAGGGATGGAAGACTTGGTGGGCCATGGGCTCGGGTATCGATTCCACGTGTGTGTTGCAGTGAAGCCTCCGACCACTGCACTACATGCGCCCTTTAAAGTTAGTTAAAAGTTAAAAGTTAAGAGTTGGAAAATAAAAAAACTCTTAAACATTTAAGTTTTTCTACTTATAGCTCCACTTACAATGAGCTGGTAACAGTACCATTTTTTAAAAATGTAGTACATATAAAGATCTTCGTGAGCTGAGCTGGTATTACTTCCCGTTGTTGACACGAATTCCTGTGCCAGTCTTTCCAACATTTAAATGTGAGCTAAGTTAGGCGTTGATCAGCGGGCAAAATTTCACAGGAAATAGCGTACTTTTTGGAGTTCTAATATGAAAGCTTTATAGATACTTTTTGACAAAAAACAAGCCAAAGGATGGTGGTGTAAATAGTAGAAGTTAAATAATTCAAAGAGATGGCCAATGTTTCATGTTCCATTTGCTATAACTAATGAGGCAGTAAAGATTAAGGAAGTCCTTCAGACTGACAACTGCCTTACTGGTATTGCTTGTGAATGTCAGTGCGCTAAGGCCGCTTACTACAGTGCTCTCTCTTCATAGCTTTAGTCCAAAGCAACATAATCGCAATCGAAGAAATGGCAAAGTTATAAGGATTACAAAACAGCAACGGGATGTCTTGACAAAATTATTATTTAGGCTAGCAATCACAGAAGCTGCTTCAGCCATTTGTGCTGGTCTGAAAGTTTATTTCAGCACGGCAACGTATCTGATGCGACATCTTTCTCGCCTTTGCAGTTATACTTCGCTTACCGATATGACAGCAAAAAATCTAGCCATTGTCTGGGCTCCCAACTTATTTCGGTATATCTCAATTCAGTATTTTTTTAACGATACGTCATCAGTTGAAAGAGTTGAGTTTGTCAGAGTCATCATTGCAGAGCTCCTCCCGTATTTGATGGAGACGAATCGCAAGTTCTTTGTGGATTAGACGTGCACACATCGCTCTGTAGTTACTTTATTACTCATTCGACTACCATTTTTGTGGACGAAACATCTGATACTCCAGTAAAAAGAGGTGTTCGTGAGTTTTTTTTGATACAAATAGTGTTGAGTTGTTGTTGTAGTGATTCTTATAGTGCATATATTGCTGTCTTTTGTAAAAAATTCCAGCATAGTTGGCTGGCGAGCAAATCCTGTTTCTTACTAGGCATTAAAATTACTCTGCAATTCGTGCTTTCTACCCTTATAATTTATTGGGACAACCGGACAATTGCAGCTCTAACTTATCGACTGACTTGTTTTAATTACATAGCTCTGCTGAATTTCATGCAAGCCTTATACATAATATTATTAATTCGATGCCGTTATGTGAAAATGTCGAAATAAAGCATCTCTCTTATACGAGAAGAGTATTCGTCTCCACCGAGTAAACGACAGCGGTAACGTGAAAGGCAGAACGTGTTGTGAGCGGTTAAAAGAAATACTTGCTGCTAGAGTTGAGAACCATTTCAGCTACGTACTACGTGCCATCATTCAGAGACTGATCCCGTACCACCTGATTCGCCGTTGGTAGGTGCTGAAACATCTTTCAATATGGAAAAATCGGCCACAATGTCAGATATAAGGTTAGTGATTGAAGCACTTGAAAATATAGAGTGGTACGAAATGAAACGATGATACAGTTATGAATAGTGATAGATTTAAAAATTTAGGTGCAACGAGGATTCGTGGTGGCCAAGTTTTCTACGTGGTAGGACAATGGATACGATCTTCAAATTCGGACGGAGGTCAGCATTAAGTGGATCTACTGGGTCATGCCGTATGTCTGAGGCAGGAGAATGGAATAGGTTACTCTTATTGATTTTTTTTAGTTTTTTACAAGAATGCGTGGCGTAATATGGTCTTAATAATTACAATAAGCGATGATGATCAATGGCAGTGTTTCTTGAAAATTTTGGCTGAAAAAAAGAAAAATTTAAGAAACTATCGTCTGTCGTAAGTGCATGATCAAATAAATTTCTGGAATTTCTACTATTTTCACCTCAAGAGTAATGCTCAACGGACTACTTCACAAACTTTCGAGAGGTGTTCTCTTTCTAGTTTTGATATAAATATTTTACAGGTCTCGCTCTGTTGAAACGTCACTACAGAGTTCACGATCAGATTCGCTGGCGTCTTTCATGTCTCGTGGTGTTGGCGAACTGCGTGATGGAATTCGGTCTTTAAGACAGCGAGCACGAAGCCTACGACCGGGTCGAAGGCCTTCATCATCGCCAAGAGTTCGTTTACGTCAACTGTCAGACAGTGTGGGAAATCCGGGTACAACATGTGATGAAACATGCTCTACGAAATGTCCACAGGTTAGAATCTCACCGTGAAGAAAAGAAGAACATTATTTTGTTTAGTTAGACATCAGCTGGTGAAAAACTTAGTCGTGGTTATTAACCAATACCATATCTTAACTGCGGCATAACATATGTTGTACTAAGTTTGGACCCTTTTTGGACAAATTTAGCATACTCATCATCAATTCATTAAAAGACAACTTTGTAGGTGTTTTTTTGTATCTTCACGCATTGGGCGAGTGTCATCACACTACTATTCGATTCCTTCTCTTTCATGTATCATTGATGAAGGCAACAGTTTTCCTTGTGGATTCGGCTTCTGATTGAGGAATTTATCTTTTTCATGAATTTCGTTGAATTCTAGTCGAGTTTCTTCTGCCTAGAATCTTGAGGTAGTTGTGTTATACCTTTGTCAGGTTTCCTCAAAGTAAGGAGCTCCTTCCGAAACAAGTCTGATATCGGTTTACCCACTCTGAAAAGATAGCCTTGCCAGGCACGTGGCGAAGTCGTACCAGCGACCACGTGAAACCATACTCAAGTAAAACTTTTACATGAAATGGAAAATGAAAGCGGAAGCAAAAAAGTAGAAAGCTTGCAAAGTCCTTTCTTTAATGTGCATTCCTTAGTCTATAATATGTTTTCAAGTAGTTTTACACGAATTCGCTTTGCACTCGAGTTTTTCTTCTTTTTTTCGTGGAAAAATTCTATACCACATTTATTTGTGTTTTTCTTAACGACAACTTATTTCAGACAATGCAGGACTCTGTTACAGTTTCTATGGTATCCCATGTTTCAGAAGAACCATGTCTCACCAAAAAGGTTTCCTTCAGTCAGCAATCGACTAGGTAAATAGGTGCTTAGCCTTACAGTCCTTTTTATCATAGTTGTGAAAAAATCCAGAGATAATATACCAGCTAGGCTCCTCATTTATTTAGAAGCAAGTAGTCTAAGAGAAAACGACTTTATCACGCGGTTTGTTTTTGAAACTCCAGTGGTTGTTTACTATATCTTGCAGAGTTTTGAAAAATATATAACCTACTTTGTAATTCAAAATGTTGACTTTCTATTTACTGCCTTTTATGATAAGTTTTCGCGGAAGGGTATTACTTGTGAAACAACTACAATAATGATGAGATATTTACAAAACTCAGGAGCGCAGGTGTCCGCGGTGGGGAACGAACGCGTAATTGCCCTTTCCGTAGGCTAACGCGTTTACCACCACACCATGCGGGTTCTTTGTTTGGCCTATCTCTCAGCTAGTTCTACCAATCAGTCCAATGCTTCCAAGATCAAACCCGTTGACGGATGATTGCTGATTGCAGTGATCGAAAGAACTAGCTGAGAGACAGGCCAAACGAAGGACTCGCATGGTGTGGTGGTGAAGGCATTAGTCCTTGGAAAGGGTAATAGCGCGTTCGTTCCCCACCGTAAACATCTGCGGCTCGGAGATTTTGCAAATATCTCGACAACTTTGTGGTTATTTTCTAACTGTAAGAATTTTTCATACTGGAAAGCACTATGTTATTCTAACTGCCCATATCACTTTCGTTGTTATGTTCAGTCGATCGGGCACTCACTTAAAGAGACTACTTTTCTTCATTCGATGAAAAAGAAGACAGTCACCACCATTCTGGTGAATCTTTGAAAAGACTAAGCACCGTGCTTGTGGGCGTCCTAGACATTTGAGAAATGGTAGAGTCCAATATAATAAAAGGATAAAGGATAAGCAAATCAGAATTAGACCTAATTAATTTGAAGCTAAATAATGTGTAAAATACAATAAAGGATAAAGAATAAAGCTCTCGGCGTTGATCAATCCCTGAGGGATGCGCCATGCATTCGACTTCATTAATTACCGTTGGAGGTGACTGAATGCATACCTGGCCTTTACAATGACTCACGGTGGTCTGCCGATGTATCAAGTCAATAGTGTTATCCTCCGAGACGGATATGGTACGAATTTTTCGAGCCCGGATGGACGGAGGGCTCGGCGGGCCTGACGGGAGGTGAGCAATCCTATGTGTATTGCAGAGCGCCTCCGACCATTACGCTACATGCGCCCCTGAGTCCATTATATCTCTAATTATACTCTTCTAACGTAACCTGTTTTTGAATTTAGACCGCTGTATTTAAATCGCCGGCGTAAATGCGAACTCAAAGTCCTTTGATTAACATATTCGTGAGGTATCCTTTGAAGTAGTTTAACAGCAGTGTTCTGTCTATTCAATCAACAATGGGGAACATAGTAGTCGTTTGGCTGGAAGAGTTATTCTCTACATACGAAAATTTAGAAATTAGTGTTTTTAAATTTAGTAGTTGCCAGTGAAAACAGTATCGCGAGATCTCCTACGACAGAGTTTTTTACTGGTGGGAGCAACATTAAGAAACCTCTTGTTATATGGTTGAAATTGTGATTGACTGTGTTTGAAGAAAGCAAAGTATAAACTACAAAGGCAAGAATTGTGTTATATCACATAATTTTCAATGAGACGAGATGATTTTTCTGGGGCTAGGTCATCTTTCTCGGACAACGTTAAATTTTTTGTATAGGGCGTTTCCATATTCATTTTGTCACTGTCGAACTAAAAAATGAAAATCATTTGCCTTCATCTAAGGCTTTCGTCTGGGCCGTGCCTTATAACTGAGTTGATAAACTTATGAGTTATTTAAACATATAGTAATTTGAACTTGCATATCAAACGTTTTGAATTCGGACCGTTCTATTTAAATCGCCGACGTATATGCGCATTCAAAATCCTTTGATTAACACATTCGTGACTGACCAGGGCGCGTATAGCGCAGTGGTCGGAGGCGCCTTGCAACACACACGTGGAATCGATCCCCGTACCCATGGCTCACCGAGCCTTCCACACCCCAGGGTCGGCAAATTGGTACCGGACTTGTCTGAGAGGATAGCAGCACTGCCTCGATACATCGATAGGCAACCACGAGTCACTGTAAAGGCCAGATATGCATTCAGTAATCTCCAACGATGCTTAATGAAGTGGAATGCAAGGTCCTTTTTGTCAAACATTTTCAAATTAAAGAAGTCTTTACATTTTAATGAAATTGCAGTTTCTTTTGTGAAGAAGAGATTTTTGTCAAGGGTTGCTTTTCTTGCCATCTTGTGCTTTTTTCAAAAACACGAAGTATTAAGGCACTTAAGGAAGAATTTCACCATTCAACCTATAATTCATAGAATATTCTGACGTAGAATGCAGTGTACGAGCTCATCATTGTGTTTCTACGCTTTGTGTCATTGGGAATATCAGAAATTCTGAACTCTGTCGAGCTCAAGTGGATTTACTTTGCAATCTTAAAAGCTTTAAAAAATGTTGAAAAATGGGGCGAGAATAAACACAGCTTTGGAGTTATCATAAATTGTAAATTTTTGCTAATTTTTTTTTTGGAAGCATGTTGTTTTGGCCAACATCGATGAGGAACGCAGTGGACTGAACCGACACCTTTTGAAAAAGCCGAGTTTGAATGTCCTCATGTAGTGATTGTCTCATGATAATGCTAATCTGTACAGCATTGTAGAATTGTATTCTTCTTAGAAATATACAATTTAAAGGATTAGTAATAAAATAGTAGTGGAGTCAGCTGACTTAACATGGAGCTTAGAAAGCGTATACTGTTCTAGCCAAGTTTTCGCAAATTACGTGCCCCTGATATCACTGCACCCGGAGTATAACAGATTAACGAATTTTCATTCGGTTTCTTGAAAAGGCACGTCCAACTACCTTTGTTCATAAAAGAGTGAATTTATGCCGAGTAATTCTTCTTCCGAAGTTCAACATGCAAAATTGTCAGCGATGAATTCGCATGCCAACCGACCCTATATCATCGCACGCGAAAGATTAGGTAACCTCTCTCCCTATGTTTTCAAAAAACCTGCATTTTCACATTCTAGTTAACCATGTATTCTTTTTTCTTCTATGATTTTGCTAGTTAAGGTCATCAAGTAGTGGAAGTGGCCATAGTGGTAGTCCTTCTCTTCAAAATGGATCAAGTCAACGAAAAAAGCGAGTGATATCCCAACAGATAACATCAGGTAGGATCTAGATCAATTTACATAGTTGGGGGAGTACTAGATCAATGCATAAGCTTCCGTTGTTTACTACGTGTTAGATGAGTAAAATCTCAGAATCCCATTTTAAGCAGCCGTGCACCGTGTTCGAAGCTAATCAAAGCGTTTTTATTTCTATTTCTGTTCATTCAACCGAAAAGGTGTTTACAAAAGGTACGAAAGTGTAGATTGAGCAATCTTTTGGAGCATGAAATATGAACGTTGGTACTCTCTGGCTACGAATGCAGCTGGTTAACGTGACCCACAAATACGTCCACTCTTGCGGTAGTTAGCCATCTTATAAAGCGTTTGAATCATCCTTGATTCTACTCCACTATTTCATCTATTTGTCGTTAAATATTCTTATTGCTGTTTATTTCTTTGATTTCGAAGTGTATTCTTTCAACCATCGAAGACGAGGTGATTCTTGAGTCTGAAGTGTGTAGTCCCAGTCGGTATGCGTGCACACGATGTATTTCAGAAGACATCGTTCGAGTACTCTGTGATATCGATGAGACGGAAAGTGTCAGCCCATATCTCAACCCCTGAAAGGGTCATAGAAAGGTTCAATGGAATATCACCTACCTTTTGTTCTAACTTTTTTTGCTACGAAAAGCCGTTCGACAACGTCAAACGGATCGGATCACGTAGCAATGAAAGACTTCGAGGAAGGTCACTCTGCCCAACAAGTGTGACCGAAGGGATCTTCATAACTAGACCAAAGTCCTTATTGAGTATGGTCCACGTGCTCTTTATTATTTGTATGAATACAATTCTCATTTGTTCCTACCTGCATAGTCTACAAAAAACTTCGATGATGTTGAAACGAGTGCTATCCCATAAGCGATCGTATCAGCTATCACCGACAAAGGAAAGGATTCGTCCAAAATGAAAAGTCTGTCTAGCTCTCATCGCAGCCGCAACATAAAATTATACAACTCTTTAATTGATCCGTTTTTATATCCATAAGAAAGAATTGAATAATATGAGAATAACCGGGAAGAAAAATGAAAGCGGCAAGAGCGGCTTTCGGGACCACAGGAAGGCCAACGAATTACTGAGCGCTCAAGACTGCATTGCTCAACTTTTTGATTCAGCTGTACACCAATTACATCGCTTAGACGTGTGCTGACACTTCAACCACGTTGGAAAATGTACGTACCACCTATAAAAGTGTTTGAACAATGTGTGCTAAAATATAACTAGCTTACAACCTCAAATTTGAGTGTCAACTACAGAAACTCGACAGTTACTTGGCCACCGAGATCCAGAACAACATGTCTCGGAGTCGAATCATAAATATACTGGTAATGTAATAAAAGAAGTTTGATTAAAAATGAATGAGAAGGTCAATGAACCCGACTCCATGAGGATATAAGCACTCTCCAAGGGGACTAATTGCACACAATACAGGCCTTTGTGTTTGCGACCACGTCAACCAACTCTACTCGCAGCGTTATTTTCACTGTTTTGCAGCTAATTTAATATGTTAGGCACTCACCTGCTACCCGTTCATTTTGGCTTTATATCTTTCTAGTGGCTGTATAACTTTGAAATACGTGACTTAAATCCTTTTTCAGATATTAAAGAGTTATCTGTACCTTTGGATTTGGATAAGCCCTTATGTGAGCGTTCAAGCCCTGTTGAAGAATGGTCAAGTGATAGCAGAGAGAGCCCTCTCCTTGAGATGAGCAGATACGATAATGTTCCTTCTGGTGAGTAGTTGTTATCAGAAATTATCTCTTATTTCTCGTAGTATTTTCTCAAATATGCGATTAACTCTATTTTTCAGTTCATAGAGATCGCATCATCTCTCGCCCGTTGTCAAATTCGGTGACGTTCTATGATGAGAGCAAACGAAGCAGATTGTTCTTACTATAACTTGCTTTTTTATGCTGTAATATTTTTCCTGCATACTTGTCGATATCAAATTTTTCCTTTTCTAGGTTTTCACAAGAATAACTCCAGTTTTGGAACGTCAAGTTTAAAAGGTTATAACTAACCTCAACCACAACCTTGTTAACCATAGTCAAGAACAGTTAGGATCTGCTACTTTTGCAGAACAAAATACAAGCTTGTTTCATACCGATAAGAAAGAATCCTGAAGTTCTTGGAGTGTGGAGCTTTCAGAACACATTTAAATATGACCATTATAAACTCTGGTTAGGGCATTTTTTGCACAATAAAAACAGCAGTTTCTAGATAATACTGTGACAACTGATGAAATCCGGATCCTATATGACAGTTCACCGGGCTCAGCGCGATAGCTGGGTCGAGGCTATACTCCTAAACATTTCCTGTGTTAGGATCTGAATCATAAGAAGCTTATGGTTGCTTTCTGGTGGATCCATTAATGGAATTACAAGCTACAATTTTTTGAACCACAGCTAAACCAACAAAAGCCAGGTATTGCTAAAAAGAAGCTTTGCTGCACTACCATATTCAATAACATGTCAAGCATCTGACGCAGAAATGTTAGAAGGTTAAAAAGTTTTTCTTATCCTCAAACTTAATGGACCTCTCGCTAACTAACTACCACTTTTTCAAACTCCCCAACTACAACTTCCATGGCAAAATCTTCCAAGAACAAACCGCGGATAAAATTGCCTTTGAAAAATTTAAAATTCAAGGTGCGACAGCGAAAGCACTTACTTTTGCAACAAACCAATGTTTTGCTGCACAATTGAGCCAATATCATGGAATGACTTGAGGAATGTCCACTGTGTATACACCATTCTATAACTGATAAATCGTACCACATGCGAGTAAAATTACGAGTACCCAAATGCAAATTAAAATTTTTGGGGTGATTTTGCAGTTTGATGCCCAAAACCAAGCGCAGCCTGTGATTTGCAAGCAATTAACCCTAAAAAATCAAGACTGACTAACGCAGTCAAATTGGAAGGTCTTCCATGGTTTCCTAGTTAATACCCTGCGGTTACAAGAATCACCACATATTAGCCGAAGTGCGGGTTCCAGTTCCATTATAATCAAGAGTCCCTCCTTCAAGCAATCTCGTCTTTACACTCTAGGCCAAGCAATGGAAGAATTTAATTGGTTTTGTATGACAAAGAAAAAGTAAGTTTCATGTTATAGATAGGCACATGTACATAATTCGAAATCGCACTAAATTACGAGATGGAGAAATTTTACTACATGAGTGACATCGCATGTATCACAATGTGCATAATCCAACACTTCTTGCATTCGATTTGCTTCGTCACGATCACCATCCACGAAGGTGTTCAAACTCTTTTACATGTTGGTTTGGCTGTTGCTTGAAGAATTTTTCGCCTTCGCTATGAATGTCGTTGAATGCTGGTCGAGTCGGTGGTTCCTGTGATACTGTAACAAGGCGTTCTCATGTGTATTCGAGGGTGCGAGCCTGTGCAAAATAAATCTGGTATGCAATTTCCTGACTCCGGAGGAATGGGAGTCAAACCAGGTTCTGGCTTGATCGCACACTCCGCCTAATGAACGGTGCCACTATCATTACGCTGCCTTCTCGTAATTATGATTAACAAGTGAAAATCATAAAATGGTATGCGTATACTGTCATGGATTCTCGCCTAAGGTATGCTCAAGTGATTGCGTATTTATAGAGGTTGAAACAAGGTTTTCTTGTAACGAAGCAGTGCGCTGCCATACTATACGACTATACTTGATTAATTTTTCCCATACATTTAAAACTCTGCTGAATAAATCACGCTTATCTTTCCTTTTATAAAAGAAACGACTTCTGGAAAGTCCAATCTTGAATGGCAAGCAACTGAATTGTATCAACTGCATCATCTAGAATGCCAGTAATCACAGAGTAACGTGCGAACACCATTCACACGTGACAAAGTTGCTCTATTCCTCTCACTCCAAGGACAAGGTAGCATTGCATTTTTTGTGTGGTGAATTTTGTTTTCAAAGTTTTTCATCAATAAGATTGCCAAAGTAGCTTCACATGATCTAGCGTGGTATAGGTTTGCTCTTATCTGGACATCCGTATGCAAATGTCGAACTGCTCAGCTAGAATGGCATCACTAAGGGAATGAAGCAGCTATTGCAGTTCGCAGCTCGGTACCATCATCCCCGAACACAATTAAGATACTTTTGTGACACTGATAGGATAGGATACTTAGCAAAGTTTTAGGATATTCTTTTGAAAATGCTTCACTATGTGCCATCAGCGACTACTACAAAGTGGATTGGCCGGCGGATAGAAACAAAGTATTATCAGTACACAGTCAGTGAGCTAGTGTGTTGTATAAAATGGCACTGCCGAATTTACTTCATTCGAATTGCGGTTCTGAAGAGACCGAAGGCGTCGAGACGCTACTCGATTAAATATTTTATAATAACCACGGGTTACCTCATTAATGAAAGAAGGAAAAAAACCATTAGGATACATTTTAAACCTCTGAGGGAGTTCATTGTTCTAGATGTAGGGGTAATGGGGGTGGAAAAAGATGGACACGAGGACGACGGTGTGGAACCAACTATGCATCTCATCGATGAGTTTGAAGGGGATGAATTGAAGCAAGCGTATAGACTGTAGACGGTTTTATAGAAACCGATAATTGCTCGCAAAACGAAAATACTAATCAGACTCCACTTTAGGCAGGTAGGAACTGAAGGTTAGTTGTGGTTGTAACAAAAGGTCATGGTATATTATGAAGTATGGTCATTCACTCGCTGACAACTTCATAGTTCGTTAAAGAACTGTAATCTTCGGGTTGGATCCAATCCTACTTCTCTTGACGTGAGATCTCCATTCGCTACGGTTGACTCGACTTCGTAAAATAGTGCTCTACCGCTAGGTCTTTATTGAAGAAACTGCATATGATCCCAACGAATTTCTCTCTTTGAGACTTCGGTGAAGCGGATGTCTTACGACAAATCGTTAACACGTATATCTTCTTTTGTCGACAGATTTGACGAATATAAGGGCTTTATCAGTAATATGACGTCATCACGCCTATTTCTTGTTTCTAACAGTGCAGTAAACAATATAGTACAAATTCAACCCTTATCTTCAACTGCCACCCCATTTAGTACAACAAAGGACAAGAATAATGCAGGAAGAAAATGAAAAAAGGGAAGAGTACCCAATTACTAGCTACAGAGAAAAATACTAGGACAACACAAAGTTAGAAACAGAACGCATACGTGAGTGTTGCTTGGTGGTAACCAGAACGCAAAACAGTTGGATGGTAACGCGCTGCAGTTGCGGATGAACGCGCGAGGGCAGTGGGCGTTCCTGGATTCAGCGCGCACAGTGTATACGTTTCGTGACGTAACCTTGCCTAGAAGACACTCGGAAGGCGAAACCACGTAACTTCTGGACAACGTCTATGACCTTCTAGTGGTCTGTTCCCGCCGTCTGGAAATGGAAGTTATCTTACAGTTGTTAAAACAACCTAGGTGTTTGAGTCCAGTCAATTGTGTGCCCTGTCCTCTTAGGTAGACCAGTCTCCATCGTAGTAGTTATACTTTCCTTTACCAGTGACGTCCATCCCGACGTGGTTCTTATTTTACGTACTCTTTTCCATCATATGTTCATTTCGAACTCGTACATCTGTGTGTTTGGTTTTCTCTAGTGTTCTTCATCTTACCATTCATTCTTCTCCAGTTTTATTCAAGATATGTGTTAAAAAACAGCAATTTGATGTCTGCAAAGACGTCAAAGGTACTCTCGTGGTATCAGTCCACAGCAGACAAACGCATTCTCCGAAGGCACAAAATTGGTCCGCCCGATGTACATCCACAAGAGCCGCGTCAAGAAGAGGATAACCTCAGTAATGAACGACTCAGAAAAGGCTATCAGGTACATGAAGACACCGTTCACTGAACAGACTATCTAATACTTTAATGAGTTCTCTAGGTGGGAACTACACCGTTCGAACACGAGTCCTTAGTTTTCAATAGTCGATCGGCGAAACTCGATCGCCTTGACGAAGCTCACACGAAATTCGCAATTTTGCTTAATTCCGTTAGTAAATTGTCTTCGCTTATCCATTTCTTGCTTCTGATCACGTGGCTCTAATGATATTAGCAGGTGCTCCACCGTAAGGGCGAAATCAACGCTAACCTTGATAAGGAACGGAGGAAAAATAGGGAGACCGCAGGAGCGCAGTTTGTAAGTTTTCGATTTTCCCGCGCTAGATGTTCCGTAGACCAGTTTTGGAGTTTCTTTCCCGTGTTATCTGCTTTGATTGTCTGTTTATTCTTTATTAATTTGCAACATGTTTGTTTTTGATTAGATCTCGTTTATGTAGGCATCAGCTAAGGCGAAAGAGCGTGCTTCATGGTTCACCGATCTTGCCAGAGGAAAGGCGCTATCACAACTGGCGAAAAAGATCCCAACAATCAAACGTCGTGAAGAAGGTCTAGAGTATCTTTGTGACTATAGGTTAGCTGATTATGTTGTGAGATATATTGTAGACCGGATAATTTTCGTTTTTGACACATTTCTAGTACTAGTCCTATGTCACAGCTCCGCTTTCAAAAGTACGATGTTTAACCCATAACGGACTCGCGGCATTGATCGCGCCTGGCTTAGTGGAATACGAGCCATTTTCCAATGGTTGCAGACTCTTCAGCTTTGTGACAATAAGAAATTCGAATAAATTTTCGGTAACTAGAGGGTTTAGCGGTTGTTAGCATGTCAATGTTGTAGAAGAGATTTTGCTGTATGGGTGCGAGTAATATGTAGACTATTATTTACTGTGCGTTACTATGTTCTTCCATTACGAAAGTACATTTTTTTAGCACTTTGAAGTGTTTCTCACTCTGTTTTGAGTCTATTTGGGTTTTTTTTATATCCACATGTTTTATACGAAGACCATACTGATCGAAGTGAAGCAACAGTTAATTGTCAGTCAAATTATCGGTAAATGAACTTTTCCAAAGGGAGTTTTTTCTTGTCAATCTTTAAGTGTAGAGAATGGTTTTTCTGATGTCACCGCTACCATTTTGATTTGATTTGGTTTAGACGATTGAATATACATAGTGTGGTGGAAAAGTTCTAGAAGGCAGTAAAATGAAAATGGACATTATAGTGTCCCAATCGTTCCCTGTTACAAACGCTTATAGACACGATAGGGTCCAAACCAGGCGTTGTGGGTTAACCAGTACATTTCCTTTTGATCTTTTGATTATTTCTCTTATTATTTGTTGCTGTACTTAGGGGAAGTCCAAGATTTAGAAGTCGTCTTTACGGGTAGAAATGATTGTTTAGAGTGAAACTTACAGAAAGTTTTATCTTAAGGATACCATCTTTTCGAGCCTTATGGTACTTGAAAGTTACTGCGGCACTCACTGGAAGCCCTAATACAACGAAGCAGAAGAAATCCATTAGTGATCTTTTCTCTGCAGGTACATTATGTTGTTCTTACATTCTCTATATGGAATCATTTGTTTAGTATTATCCTCACCTTTTTCGTTTAGAATACAAAGATATTTTTGTGAAAGCTATAAAGGAAATAACTATTCGTATGTGGGACGTAAGTGACATCTCAACGTGTCCTATCTATAAAGAACGCTGGATATACATATCAAACTTAAGTAAGAGCGCATTTGAGGTTGGTGTTAGGGATTTTTACTGGCTTTTTTCGATGTTCTATTTCAACCTCATTTATTAGGATGGTGTGATAGAGCGACAGGATTTCCTGAATGAGTTGTGTGATATTTTCTCAGATTTTTTTGTTCGACGAGTAAAGAACGAAGAAAAATTGCCACAGCTACGGTTAGTTGCTTGGTGCACTTCAAGTGGCATCATTGGTAAGATATGTTTTCCAGGATATATCTACTGTTTCTCACTCAGTTTCTCCGTCATATCAATAACAATCTTATTCTTGCTCGACGTCTTGCTCATATGATTGCAATGAAACTTCGATTATACAAAATGGAATACGACGAGCAGAATAGCACGTAAGAACGATAGCCTTCTTTCACCATTAGTTTGATTAGTAAGCATGATTATTGTTGTGTTCCTCTTTGTTCTTCTTTTTTCTTAACTGACAAGTTTCAATTTCTGAAGGGTTACCAAAGGTGCGGAGGCATTCACAGCATTAGCCCAATGTTCGGCTCTTCGTCCAGTAATCCATTTGCTGACTGCCGTACTGCAGAATATAGTTATTGATGCTCCGGCAGCTGTAATTTGGAATAAGTTCAAGGTATAAATATGCTTACTTTTACCTACTTGATACTTGAACGGCCCGTCTTCACTGGTTGCGCGTGGCCCAGCATAATCTGCATTTTTTGGAGTCTTGCTGACTTAGCCATGGTGTTCCTTGGACTTCCGAGGTCAGCCTGGCCAAAGTCTGCTGCAGGTCGTCACCACTACAGGCAGTCGCCGCTCTTGTGGATGAGAAGCAGATTTGCCACCATGCGACTAGTTTGATATCAGGATGGTGGTGACTCCTGTTATTGGTTTACTCTTAGCTAGACTTCCTTATGGAAAAGCCGGACTCCTTCTCAGCTTGGGAGACCGTGCAGAAGGAATGAATACCTCGTTGTACATCGCAGCCCGACACCTAGGAACAACTCCCAACCACGATGAGGCGGTTAACCGTTGGGAGGAAATATGCTTATATAGCGAACAAAGTTCATAGTCTTTGGTCCTTGCTTCACACTCTTGTTTCATAATTACATGGATAGTTTAAACAGTAAGGCATGGGCTGTTCAGTAGCACTCGGGGCTGAACAATCACCATGCACTTGTTTTCTTCTCAACGTAAAGCTTTTTTAATAGGTTCTCGATCGTAGATGAGAATGAACATAAATTGTGGCCAAAAGGTCGTAGTGGGAAACTTTTTACCATGTCAAACCTAAAGAAGCTTGTGTCGCATTTTTTCATATAATGAAAACTTTTTTCCCTCTGACAGGTCTCAACTGCTGACAAGCTCCCATTTATATTGTCTCAGCTATGTGGATCACCTTTGGATCTCCTTCCTTGTGCTGTACACGAATTGCCGCTGCCACCTGGAAAAGGTATGTTGCAATATTCCTAGTTAGTCATGTTTCGTTGGACTCGTTCAGTTTTCAATTTCAAGATTCTGAGAGATTCGCAGAGCTTCTGAAGCTGCGAACTACAGAAATTGTCCGCAGAAGTCAGGCTGTGCAAGACAAGTGGTCGTTCAACCAAAAAGAGCAGTTTGTATTTGGTGTGTCTTGCTAAATAGATGTTTTACACGGTCACTGTTTTCGGTAATCCTTATCCTAAGACTGTTTTGAATACTTCGTCATTCCAGCGAAATTGGTTAATAGCTGTCTTGATGTTATCGGAATTCTTGATTCATCAGATGTCCTTGAACCGAATGTAATACCCGCAATAGCTACCCGAATATTTAACTTTCGAAGTGAAAACTGGGCAGAAGATGTTTTAATAAGGTGGGACAGTCGTGTTGGTTACTCATTATGCTTGTCGAGGAAAACTACATATTTAGGTTAAAGCTCATACTGCATTGGGCTGTTACAGCTGAGCGCGAAGGTAGTTACAGAGCAGTTATTGTCACGAAGGTTTGCCAATTTCTTACAGTCTTGCTTATCAGACTAGAATTAGCTACTCGTTTGTACTTTTAGATTATTCACCACCAAGTTTTGAATCAACAGTCATTTATGTTTGGCCCATTTCATATGCAAGACATCATTCTCAATTATTTCTATACGGAGGCTCCTACAGTTGGATCCAAGCATTACCATCAAGAATTTGCCTCCTTGGTCATATTATTTATCGAACTTTCGCGCCACAAGTTATTTGAGCATGATAGGTGTGAACGGTTATGTTCCTGCGTTTCTTTCTATTTCTCTGATGGACCAATTTTTTTTTAGTTTTGTAAGGGAACTTATAAAGTCTGGTGAATTGGACTATCAGCGACCAGTCATGGACAAATATAAAGAGGAGAATAAGATTACGGATGTTATCTCTTCTTCGCTTATTTCCGCCCAGGTAGGGAGTTTTAGTTCAGTTCTTTCTCTCTGTTTTTTTTTTTCTGGAGACCCTACAGTACGATGTGTAACAAGCCGATTTAAGTTTGAAGACTTGACGCCGGATGAGCCACCAAAACCAAGCAGTTTGGTCTCCTTTAGACAAGAGGAAAAAGATGAGCACGTTTATCTGAATGATACAATGAGCATGAACGACAGGATTCTCATACAAGTTAGCATTAGATTTTAGGTTCCCTTTCTCTATATATTTCTTGTGTTTCATCATAACCTCTTCAGATGCCACTGCGTCAAATTGAAGAGCATCGAAGTGAGGCGAATCAAAGAGCCTTAGTTTTGTATGGTATGAATAACACTCGGGAGAACCATATGTTCGAGCTGAAAAAGGTGATTTTGTCTTTCAGTGATTCTCTTTCGTTTGTCGTTTTACGACATCTTTTTCAAAGCACTTTATTCAGATTGCAAAAGAAATCTGTAAGATTTGGCAGAAGAAAATCTATGTCCAGTTCTTAGAAGGTAATGACGTGCCATTATTTAAGCAATCTATCAACTCGGCAAAGGTTGTGGAGATTCTGGCAAGATTTAGGTCTGCTTCTTAAGGTCTTTTATTGTGAGTGAATCATCTAATGACTAAGCATTATTGCTGTATGCAATGGTAGTTACAGATGCTATAGCAATCTAACCAATGCGTTAGACTTCCTTGCGCACATGAAGTTAGACTTTACAAGTCTCTTCATTGCCAGGTGCATTAACACATAAACCATGAAACCGTTTTTTTACAATTGACGAAAGCTCACTAAAGTACTTTTAAACCAGAATGCTTAATACTCTTATAAACTTTGGTCTTTCTTCTTAAAAGTACGTAGTGTATTTTCTGGAATATTACTTCAAACATAAATTTTCTTTGTAACGAAATTTCCAGTTTTTCTTTCGAGGTGCAATTTTTCGTGTTTTCCAACTCAATCGAGGTAGCCGCGAGCACCAACAACGTCTTTGGCAGCGCTACTATATCCTGCTAGATAAACTCTCACTTGTTCAATTGCTTTCATGTTTGAAATACGAACCTTGGTTTTTAAGAAAAAATGGAACATTTTTTCAGGAGGTCAAAAGTTTGTCTTTCTATAGCATTATAAGTTAACCACAACGATTCTGAGATATTTGCAAAAGTCCTAACCGCAAGTGTTTGCGATAGGGAACGAATAACGAACGAAAAAATGAAAGTCGTTCTCCACCGCATACATCTGCAGTCCGGAGTTTCTCAAATATTTCAGTATCGTTGTGGTTGTGTTTCGCATAATACTCTACCGTGAAAACTGTAGAGGCAGAAAATAAAAAGTAAATATGAGAACTTTCATTCAAATCAGAACATTCTTTCAAATGAGAATTTTTCATTAGACAAGGTTATGAAGATTCCAGTGATTCTTAGCACGATTTATAAAGTTTATTACGAACTGAAATAAGTTTGTCTGAAGTTGAAAGTGGTTATTATTTCTCAAGCAAATGCAATGTAGTCCATTAATTTTTTGCATACGTTGGCTTTCCGTTGAAGCATGTGTTTCTTATGAACACTTTCTTTCTCTTCGTAGAATAGCAGTGAAGGAGTATATTTGTATTTTGGCTATAATGCTTTCTTTATTGTCGTTGTTTAAGTAAATTTTCGTGACTGACAAATCAACAGTTAAAAGCACTCTTCCCTCAATTCTTGTGGGGGCTTATGGCATAGTATCCATTGTTCATGGATGGTACCAAAATCGATAAGCGAAATCTCTTTTAAAAGTCCACCAAATTCTTATGGTCTGTAGTTGTCGGGAAACGGGAGCAGTGGTAGTTGTGGTAAATTTTCCACAAATTATTGAATGTTGCATTTCAATAAAGCTCTGAGAAGCTCTCGATATAGATCGATCCCTTAGAATTCGACTTCATTACGCATCGTTTCGAGGGGATTGAATGCATACCTACCGATCTATCGAGCCAGTGCTGCTATCCTCCCAGACAAATCTGGTACCAGTTTGGTGACTTCGGAGAGATGGAAGACGTGGTGGGCCATGGGCTCGGGTATCGATTCCACGTGTGGGTTGCAGGGCGCCTCCGACCACTGCGCCACACGCGCCCTTTGCTTTACTCTTAACAAGGTATTAAATTGTTTCTTTCGAAATTGAGTATTAAGGACTTTCATTTGGACATTTTATTAAGGACTGCACGCATGAAAAAATTAGTTGTTCCGCATAATGGGAACACGGAATTAAGCGTCGGATTGTAACTTTTAAATTTCATTTTATTTTTTGTTTAGGAGTCAAACGTATTATGACCAATTGGTTATTTGTGGGTGGTGTGCAGAGTCATTTTCTGATATGATTCGTGACTTCGTGTTTGGAAATTCTCTTCAAATGCCAACATCTGAAGGTTTGGATATCATCTGTGGAATGTTCGAGTCAGCTCAATACATCTATGGCATATTTGAATTCTGTGAAGCTGTAAGTTTTCTTGAAAAACTTCAGCTTACAAAAGTCAATGAAATGAGTCAAACCGTTGAGACGTAATTAAACCAGGTGACTCCTTTATTGCTTTCCACCGAGAAAGTAATTCGATCGTTAGCAGCTGATGTGATTCCTGGAACGATGTCAGGTCAACTTGGTTATGTCTTTGTTGGATATATCTGCAGACATTGGCACTACTTTCTGCACTCGGGTCTTGCTCCAACAATAACTAATCAGTGAGCTTGTTGATAGAAGTTATAGTTGGTGTGTAGTATGTTTTTTTTTTGCTCTAGCATGTACGAACTGATTGAACGCATGATTCGTGCGCATGAATATCCCATGACGAGTTGGGGAAGAACGATTGCTGCTTTCGTGTATCATTCCAAGTGTCAGCTGAAAAAGGCCCAGGTTTTGTATGCGCATTTTACCTTTTCCACTGCTGGTTTTTTTTATGGTTTTGTTTTTTGATATTCATCTATGCATTTCCTACTGCAGCTCTCTGATATTAAATTGCACGGAGCGCACGACGACTTTCGTCACGTTTTCAATCATGGTAGCTCCTCGTATAATGGAGGAAGTCGATACAATGCTCTCTTCTTTAAGGACGTATTCGAGAAGAAACTGTAAGATCTGGGATATTATCATGGAGTGTTTGTAGATGATAATATGGTTTTAGGCGGTTTTTCTCTTATCATGAGTACAAGAAGAGACTTCCGTCGTTTGGACAACTGTATAACCGTTATTCTTTCGTCGTCAACTCATTCATTGCTGCAAAGGTTAGTATCACCTATTCTTCGTAGACATATTTGTTATATAAATAAATATTGCAGAACTTTATGCGCGATCATGATCGCTTATCGGATCTCGCTACCTTCTGCGGTCATATTTCGGCTCAAATAGCTGCTCTAGCAGATGAATGGGTTTGTTTTCCTTTTTTCACAGGTTGTTTATTTTAAATATGAGTTACTGAGTCGAGAATTGATGGCTTTCCACTGCATCTACTTCTCTTGGGTTATCTAGCGCCTTAGTTTCTTATCTTCTTGAAGATCCCTACGACATTATACGTAATATATCCTTCGTTTCAGGTTTCTGCAATTAAGGCCCTTTGTTGCACAAGTATAAGTCAGCACACAGGCTATGGCGAACTGCTTACACATATTGATGTATGTTGTTTTAAATGCTTCAGCTTAAAGCTTTAAATGCTTTATATGCTTAAAGCTTCACTCCCGTTTGGCGTTTATGTCACCTTTCAGATTAATGATTGCTCAACGCACTATCCTTTGGCGACTTTTGTTATGTTGCTGGCAGGGAAATACGCATTTAGTGTGCCACGTTTGATAGCTGAACTTTTAAACAACGCATTTCCTGTGATTATGAAGCGTGAACAGAGCGCTTTTATCGGACGATATAGTGGTGAGCTGTTATAGGTAAAAGTTTTCGTCCATGTCACAGCAAAAATTTCTTTCTACTTTTTCTAACATTCGTGAGAGTGGGTGATTTCATTGGCATGTACATAGACATCTTTGTTCGACAACTGGAATTGTAAAAAGCCCTGATAATCCAACAGTTCAACCAGTAATCATGCGAGCTCTTGTGGGAAGAATGTGTTAGCACTTCCGAAACCGAGGGAGCATTTGTGCGGATGCTTCTAGGATGTTGCCTTAATTGGGACAACTGAAATAAATATGATAATCCATTATTTCGTGTTCATAAGTAGTTCCTGTATAATTGACATGGTGTTGAGATATGAACGAAACTCGTAACCTTAGATAAGTTTTAAACTGGCGGCTCTCCTTTTCGGGGACTCATAAGTTATACACTGCACCATTGAGTATTGTGCTTTGCTCGAGTTCTTGTATACTGCAATCAGTTACAGTTAAAGTCTAAAATCAGTATCACGCTCAAAGTTGAAAGCGTCATGTTTTTGCGATAGTGCGGTCAGATTTTTCTAGAAATAGTTATCCAGATGAACTGTAGTTTGCTAGTTTCTCTTCACATATTGTCCGCTGTATTTATTAATGAAGTACCTAAAGTGTAGTGATAACTTTGATTTTATGAAAGAAACCACAATTTTAGTGCCATACAAGTGCAGTCACAGTTTAGCATCAACTTCATGTTATTAGAGGGTGTTTCGCCCAGTGTAAAGCATTCCACAGGTCTTTGTTAGGCAGTGGCTAATAGCGTTTTTAACCTTGTTGTACAAAGATTACCAGGGAACGGCAAAAAAATATGAAGACAAGTCTTGAATGTATGGGCACAATTTTATTATTCATAAAACATCTTTGAATGTGTACATATATATTTAGTGCCGAGCAAAACCGAATATGATTATGAACCAGGCGTATGCCTGACTCTTTTAATTCTCGCGCAAATCAGTTGTGGAACAGATGAACCTTTCCACTGTAAGTCCGTTATATCGGTTGAGCTTGATTTATGTCAGGAACGTTCTTCAATGTTTTCATATTCTAGTATCGGAGCACTACGTGGGGATTGTTCCAAGAATAAAATTGCTATCCAGGTGTGCCGATGAACACGTGCTGTCCTTGATACATTGGTATATTTTATTCCCTATAGTCGTTGTTTATCTTCTGAGCTATGACTCTGTTCATTTCCTTTACCTTTAATTCACTTAGGTGTGAAATGGATAACGTTCTTTTTCCCATGCTTAGCAACATATGCATTCTCATTGATACATTGAGAGGGCGGTTTAAAGATCTAGAGTGGGTTTTATTCTTGCACATGTATTATATATATATATATATGTATAAAATCTGTCTATTTAGCTTCATACCAAGTCGAATAGTTGACTCGACAAACTATAGGAGAGAATACCTCATGATTTTGCTTAAAGCGGTCCAATCCATCATTTGCGAAGAGGATTGGGTAACGATGAAAATGTTTCGTATTGTGGAGACAAACAGAATGGAAGCGTTTAATCATGATCGTCTTAAACAAAACTGTCTTGTAAGGTTTTTTTTTGTTTTCCATTTCTTTTCTTTGGAGATTGTTTTTTTTTGTCTTCACAGGGACAGCAGCTGTTACGACTTGGTATACGCCGTCGATGTGAGCGCGATGTTGTGCGCGAGTTGTCAGTTTGCAATGTGAATTCTAAGAAAGCTTTAATCGACAAATTATTGTCAGTTATGAACATGTGGAATATGAGAGCTACTCTATTCGATCTTATGCTGATGATCAAAGAGGTTTGATTGAAAATGCTTACTTGGTTACTTGGATGGTTCGTCTTCACAGTTATGCGTGCCCCAGCATAATCTCTATTTTTTCGGAGATTTGCTCGTTTAGCCAAAGTGGTTCCCTGGAATACTGAGCTCAGCCTGGCCAAAGTCTGCTCCAGGTCTTCACCACCGCAGGCAGTCACCGCCCTCGTGAATCAGAGAGAAATTTGCCGCCTTGCGACTAGTTTGATACCATGACGGTGACGGATCCTGTTATTGGTTTACTCTTAGCTGGGTTTCCTGATGGAAACGCGGGCCTGCTCTGCTGGTTTCTCCTCTGCTAGGGAGACTGCTGGGGAGGGAGGCAAATCCCCCTGCTGTACATCGCAGCCCAACATCCAGGAACACCTTGCAGCCACGGTGAGATGGTAAACCGTTGGATGGTTGCTTGAAAATGGCTTCTCTAGTTGAGTATAGATGAAGTTTCCTTATTTTAAAGGCACAGTTTATAAGATTAATGTGCTTAACGACCGAACAAATGGTTACTTGTGTGGTTATTTTAAACTCATTGAAGTAAATGTGGTATCAATTAGAGTGCATTATTGGCGGCCGCTGTAACTGTTGCAGATTTCTCCGGAAGGCGCTCAAAAACATGCGCAACAGAGCGCCATCGCAGCTGATGCGCTTATGGGAGAAATCGGAAAATGTTGCCGTGACTTGTTCACTAATGCTCACAAGGAAGGTGTACAACTACCGTCAGCAACTGTGGGTGTTTTGTATTTCACTCACCATTAGTTGAAGGAAGCCTAAAAAACTGACTTAACAAGTTTACAGCTAGGTCGAGACTTCCGTTTTTGCCACGTTACCAATTTTTGGCTCATCGCTTTGTTAGTTCGACTGTGTCCCCAACCAAGTAATGTGCCAAACCAATTTCATCACATGACGGTAGGCGAGCTTTTGAACACGTCCTTGATTGTTAAACAGTTTTGATTTATCGCTTTAATTTCTTTAAGGTATCTGGTAAGTTCCTTAAAGAAGCAGCATCTATGCTCGATACAGCCAACGACAGTTCTAAGGAGAGAATACAGCAAAGGTATTACGTTCTATTTGCCTACCTTTCATTTACGTTCTAATTTTTTTATTATCGCTTCTGTTACAATTTACAGTGTTTGCAGTTCATGGTTGCTCTCTCAGCAACCTTTTTTAAACCTTGTATTAGCATGTTTGAAAGGCGAGGTTTTCCAACCAAATAAGGATATGCTTGTTTCCTCACTTTATAAGCAACTTCTTGATCTCACCAGTAAAACAAAAGAGGTAAATTATTCTAATGGTCGTAATTTTAGGTTATCTTTATAAAACTTCTTTTTACAGAATCCTGCTTTGCCACTCATGGAAAAGTTTTCCGCTGAGCGTGAGGGATTACTTCTCCGTTTATCGCTAGTGGGTGGCATCTTTAAGCAGGTAATTTTAACAAATACTACACTCAATGTAAACTCTGTAGCCATTCTGTAATATTTCGCTTAGGGAACGGTCATTTCACGTGAGTTAGTAAAGTCGTATATTTAACTAGTTGTCCGGCCTTCTTTCTTAACGTAGCTTCAAAGTTATTACGTAAAAGTCCAAATCGCTGAGTATTTGACACTAACAATTTTAACCTTTTTATGTACTGCCTATTCTTTTTAACGGGAGGATGTTTTGCGAAATATAACTATTGTAATGCTGAGATATTTGCAAAACTCCGGACCGCAGGTGTTTGCGGTGGGGAACAAACGCGCTATTGTCCTTTCCGGTTGGTGACGCGTTCACCACTACACCATGCGGGCCCTTCGTTTCGCCTGTCTCTCAGGTAGTTCTATTGATCTTTTGCCATCAGCAATCACCCGTCAACGGGATTGATCTGGGAGCTCAAATCGGCATTGAACCCAGTTAAGCTGAGGCTATAGTTATAATCACAATCTTAACCTTTTAATTCTATCGATAGAACTAGCTCAGAGACAGGCGAAACGAAGGACCCGCATGGTGTGGCGGTGAAAGCATTACTCCCCGGAAAGGACAATAGCGCGTTCGTTTCCCACCACTGACAGTTTTGTTCTATTTGCTTATTGCAATCTCATCACTGTGATGTTAAGCTTTTATTTTCTGCCTACTATAATAGCCCTATGCGTATATATTATGCCTGTTATATTATTTTTACACTATGTCTATATGTTATAGTAGGAAGTGAATAAAAGGTTAACGTTGTGATTTCGACTAAGGCTTAGCTTAACTGGGTTCAATGCCGATTTGTGCCCTCAAAATCAATCCCGCTGACGGGTGATTGCTGATCGCAGCGTTAGGTAGAAAACTATGGGCCTCCTTGATGCCGTGTGTAATACGCGAACTTCGGAAAGGATAATTGTGGTGCAATCTGACCCGTGGTCCAAGTTTTGCGAATATTTCACCATTGTTGTGGTTCTATAGTTAGTAAGAATTTTTGAACTATATCCTGAGTACAACGTAGTTGAATATTCTTGGCGGCCATAACAGTTTTGTTTCAGATCTGTCAGCCACAACACAGTGAGGGATGGTCACACCTTTTCTTCCAAATGATGCTGTATGGTATGGTTTCACCTGACAAAGATAGGTGCGAAATATTCAGATACGTGAAAACACCCAATACGTTGCCCGGTTGTCAAGTAATAATGTTAGCATAATAATTGGACTGAAGACAACAAAGAGTTTCAATGTTATGTGCTGTAATGACAAAGTGATGCTGTGTAATATCTTCTTTTCTATCTTATTAAGGGCGGCTTATCGGGCTTCTATCCTTAGTAGTATATTTTGCAACATGCTGTTACCCTAGGATATTGTATGATTCCTGTTACGATATGCTGTCTACATTGATGCTGTGGACGTTAACGGCTCCTTCAACGGCAACCCAACAAATAAGTGAGGGTAGTGAACCGAAATTTCGGTGGCCTTACTATTCTATCATCATAAAAAGGCTCAAAGTATGTTTTTAGCACATATTACTGGATTTTTTATTCCATTTATCATTCTCGTCTACTCCGAAAAATGGTTTTCTTATGTCCATGATACTTTCTGTTTTCATAAAAGCAGTGGTGTTGCGAGCACCGCTGTGGTAGATATGCCGGTACTAATGGAAGCAAGGTCATAATTTGACCTCTCACCAAGCCAGTCAAGCCGTTCAACATCCGGAGTCGAGGAATTGGTCCCAGACTTGCCTGGCAAGCTCTACTTTATGCCCTAAGGCTGGCGACTGCTTGTGGTGCAGGCTTGAGAGCGCCGTAGCATGGCTATGCGGGGAGGTCGGAGAGAATCTTTTCGAACAGCATTTAACGGCGTTTGTAATGAGCAATATAATCCTCAAGTAACGGTTGAGTCCACACGCAAATTCAAAGACCTTCGTGTGTGATCAATGCTAGGAAACGATTTAAATTAAGGAAATCCTGAGATCCGCTTGTCTGATGTTTAGTCGTGTGAAATAAAGTGCGGTTGAAACAACACGCATTTTGAGGAAGTTTTGAGCATTCCTTGATATTTTGCATTTTTCAGAAAGAAATTGCTGATCAGAGGATACCACCTGAGCTTCGTGCTTTGCTGCAATTCTTACCTATTCCGAAGAATACTATATCTGTATTTGTAACGGAGCCGTATGGATCGTTTACATCTGTTAATTTTCAGAAGGCCTCTGGAGTTAGTTTTCTTTGAGTCTGTATTTCATGAAAAGAAATTTCATTTATGCGGATTTACACTTTCTAGAACGCTACCCGGACGCCGAGCATTCCGTCCTCAATACCATTAAGTGGCTTACGCCATGGTCGGTATGCTTTGCAAGTTGTCGAGAAAGTGAAAACTTCCAGTTACGACTTCATTCACGCTTACATTAACGAACAAAGTAGCAAAGGTGGATGGAAGTGGAGTTGGTTCCAGGTAATTTTCTCATCGTCAAATGTTTTTAAGGGTTTTCGGGCAATTTACACTGTTACTACTGTCATATTCTAAAAAGCGATAGTAAACAAGAAAGTTCTGAGTGGTATCAGCAAACAGCAATCTGATATGGCTCCTACAGACTTAGTGTTGAACTAGTGCAGTGTATTTACTACTAGTTCTGATTACTTAGACGTTTAGATAGTCGGTCGTGGTATGTCGTGCAAGACACGGCTCTTCCATTAATTCTTCTGTTTTGTATTCATCGTTCATAATAGTGGTCGGATTAGGTTGTGCGTTTAGCTTCTACTTGCGGATTTGAAAGTCGATTGAAGAAGTGAATGTTGGTTTGAATTGCGTATGAGAGGCGTATCATTCTCTGCAGATCTCATTGGAGGTGTCTGTCGGAATCCACTGCAGCGCCTTATTGTCCATCCATCGTCTTCCGTCATCGTTACACCATCACCCAAATCTCGATTCGTTGTTCAAGAAGCGTTTTGTTGCTTTTCCAAGGCGGGATAATCTTTATTAGTCTAAGGCTACGAAGACCGACTTGGTGTTGAGTGTTTCGGTTAATTTGTCGAAGAGGTCACCTAGATGCGTTGTGTATTTTGAGCAGTTTTGTGATATAGCCAAACTGTTTCTTGTACATAGTATAAAGCTGGAAGAACTGTTACCTCAAATAGGTATGCGCCAAGGTTAGTAGAAGCCGTGAAGCGGCCCTCAGTGATCTTTGTTATCTGACGAGTTTTTTGCCAAGTTTTTTTTACCCATATTCCGTAAACAACTCAATTATGCGTAACACTTCTTTTCCTGTTTCATCACTGTGCAATGTTTACGCTTTTACATTGCCGATCAATAAAGGAGACAATATCCTTGGCAACAATACGCTTGAAATGTGTCAACGTGTTGTTTGTTTGTCCCGTAACTTTGCGTACTAGCAGTATACGTGGCGATGAACAGCTTTGGGGTTGTTTTGTCACTTTGTCGTGTTCACTTGAAAGTTTGAGTAACAAGTGGTCAGTTGAAAAGCTGTATCATCGTAACGCTACGTTTGTTACCATCAGCAAGTGTTTTTATATGAGTTGTATGTGCCTTGGACAACTGCTACAGACAGGACGCCATTGTTCTCCACAATGTCGAATGCGTTATACTTAATGCAGTTAAGGACAAAGGTTAAGTATTCTAAATAGAACTCTTCGAATATCGAAAACGTCTGGACTTAGTTCGTGGAGCTAAATGCCTTTCAAAATTCTGGTTGTCTCATTCATGTTTTTTGGAAGTGGTTGTCGCGATGGTCGTTGTGTCAGATGGTTGGTTACTCGCAGTCGCAAACGGTTATTGCAAGGAATAATTAGCCTCCCCGATAAATATGAACTTTAAGAGTATTCGAACCTGGTGAATGTAGCCAAATCGATTGCGAAATCGCGTTTGTTGTTCAAGTTCACCTTCATCCACGTTCTCCGAGGTACATGTGACATGTCCTGAGAGTTTTCATCAGCGTCTTGTTGTGTTTTGTCGGACTTTCACAACTTCGATAGTTCGATAGGGTATTTACAAAATCGAGTTATTTCTTTGTTTGACGGCAGGGCTGTATCAGTGTAATGATCTGATTCAGTGCAAGAAGGTGGAACGCTAACAACTTCGAATAAACTGTATTTGTTTTTGATAGGGATGTGATCGATATGCAGTTCCCTTGATTTTTGTAGTGATTCTCGCATCCAGTGGTGGTTTTCTTTTTTCTAAGAATTAATTTGCATGCAAGGGGGAAGCCACAGAAAGTTATCTCGCAGTATGATTTCGGTTTTTAAATATGACGTTCTGTTCCCACTTTCTCGATACGGTATTGTTGTTCTTGAATGCCCCAATCCCGGTATTCTTGTTCTTTTTTTTTTTTTGAAATAACGCTTGAAAGGATTGTAGAAGGATTTCTCGACGCGGGTAAGCTCCTTAAGATCTTCATACAACATAATGGATTTCCTGTGTCGAGGAAGTACAAGCAGTGGAGCAGCAGGGCGGGGAGGCAGGATTTTAGGACAGTCAATAAATGGGCTAACGAATATGAGCGCGATGAAGATGTCGTCACCAATGTTAGCGGATGGTGTGTTCAAAGATCTCATTGCGTCCGTCTGCATTTCCTCTTTAGTTTCAATTCTTTTTTAACTACCTCTTACATCTTTTTAATGTGTTCTTCGACACCAAGGTAAGTTTTGAGATCATGGTCTGAAAAGATTGACGTTGAATTGTATGTGCTTAGTCGAAAATGCCATGCATGCTTTATCATAAGTGTAGCTTTGCCCTCCACAGTAAGCCAAGATATTCTCTGAGTGAACATACTGAATGGTGGTCAACCTTAATCTTGTCTTAAATCCCGGCATCACTGTGTTGAAATATCTCACGATCTTCACTGCGAGAACTCGTTGACCGTTTTCGAAAACATATTTTTAGCTTTATGGTTAAGATACAACCCTAGTGATTCCTGTGAAGACCGCTAATACCGTAATTAGTCGACCAAGCATTAAAAGCATCGTGTAGCAAGCCAAATTCCAGCTCTTAGAAACGCCTTATACTGCAACGTATTCTTATTACATATGTGTGCGTGTTTATTTATCTGGCATTTTTTCTGTTCATGCTACCGAAAACACCCCTCGCAATTTGCTGTTTTCAGGCTTCGAAATTGGATCGTTTGCCATGTCCTGTTCAAAGATGGGTGGCAAAACTTCTGGTTCATAAGCATCAACTTGAATATCATCGACCAAATGCTGTTGGTTTTAAAAAAAAAATTCGCAAGAAGGTTTAACATTTGAGTGGGCCTTAAATGGTCAAAATTTTATCTGAGGATCAGTTCTTTTTAAATTTTGTTATAATATTTAATTAAGGTAATTACTGAATCAAGTGATCATTTTCTATCAGCTCCAGCTGTTGAAGCCACGGGAGAGGCGCCGCCTCCGCCATCTGTATCAAGTGTTAACACACCTGGAGTTAGTTGTAAACTTGTTTGATCGTAGTTTCAAAACTATTTGTTATAATATTAACTTTTTATTTACTATCTATTGCAATTTTTCACGGCAGGATATTATCTGTGGTACAACCACAATGATGCTGAGGTATTTGCAAAACTCTGGACCGCAGGTGTATGCGGTGGGGAACGAACGCGCTGTTACCCTTTCTGGGGGCTAACGCGTTCACCACCACACCATTCAGGTCCTTCGTTTTGCCTCTCTCTCAACTAGTTTTTATTCGTTATATATGTTGAATCAAGCACTTTGATAATTGAGTGAGAGTTTGTTTGCATATACATTTATAGTTCAAACACTATGTGTTTACCGTTCAGACACAGACTCCTGCTACTCCTTCCACATCCGTTGGAGCAACTGATGCAATAACACCAGGAAATGATGTATGTGTTTCGAGCTTGTTTTAGGTGTTATACATTTGATAGTCTTATTGTTTCCAGGAAACCATTACCTCTAGAAATTCAGCTGTTAGCACACCAACTACAAATGATTTACCAGCCGATGAGATCACTCCGGAACAAAGCCGAGGCCGTACGACGTTTTTTGAAATAGTCGCTCGTGTTTTCAATGTCCTATGATTTTTTCTAGTTTTATCGGTTCCTAACTCTATAGTCTCTCCTCGGACTGGAGCTCGTGGTGGTCGCAAACGGGGGAACGTTAACAGACCCCATCCTAGTGTTCGGCAAAAGAGAGTACGGATCGCTTCCTACACAAGTTTAAAATAGATTAAGATTAGATGTTACATTTACTGGATCAAAATGTATCCTTTGCAGTCCGCATCACGCAATGAGCCTCCAGGTCCAGCCGTAACTACTCCTTTCAATCAACCTTGGCATAGCTCTGGCCCTGGTGCGATTACTAATGTTCCTTCTCAGGCTGAATCAGCTACGTATTCTCAACATCAGTCGCAGCAGGTTACCTTATTATTGGAGCAAGATACATTCTGTTACAAACTAAATAATACTGCTTAGATTCAGGTATCGTCCAACGCTGTTAAAGACCCAACTAAAACGAAAATCCAAGAGTGCATAAACAAGAAACGTCTTGAAGCCGCTCGAAACTCTGGTAAAGCCTTTTTCACTTGTTATTGTTTTGTATATTTAATCGATAAGCTTGCGACGAGGCTAGATTTCACGCTGTATGCTGTATGGTTTATAAACTCTTCTGAAAAGCAGGTGTTATGTAAATTACGATGTGTTTTAATAAGCCGTTTTCAGTAAAGAATATCTTAGTGCATCTGTATTGTAGGTGCTATCGGTGTAATAGGTATAAAGGCTGTCACTGAAAATGTTTATGCGGCAGAAGAAGCATGTAATAGAAAATAAGTCGTAAGTGGCTCGTGGTGAAACGCGCTTGTGTTAGGAAATACTACGACATAGATTGCACATTCTTTTCACTGCCCTGCATTTACTTGTCATTTGTTATTAAAGTTTGTTGGTTTACATCCTAATGGTTTACCGCCTTATCGTATCTGGGAGATGTTCCTGGGTCTCGGGCAGCGATGTACAGCGGGCGCATTCATCCCTCTGGCAGGGTCTTCCAAGCTGAGAAGGCGCCCTGCGTTTCCATCAGGAAACTCAGCTAAAAGTAAATCAACACCAGGTTCCAACACCGCCCTGGTGTCAAACTAGTCTCATGGTGGCAAATCTTTCTCTGATCCAAGTGCTGCGGCTGCCTGTGGTGGTGACGACCTGGGGCGGTCTTTGGCCAGACTGACCTCTGGATTCCAGGAAATCACATTGACTAAACCAGCAAGTCTCCAAAAAGTGGAGATTATTCTGGGGCCCACTCAATCAATGAGGGCGGGCTATCCGAGTATCCAGTTAAGTATTGGCTTAATGCTTGCGCAGCAGTATTGGTGATAATGTGTTTCGAATGTCGTTGCCTATCATCATCGATTTAAAACAAGCAATATTTATTTAATGAGACTAGGATCATATAAGTAAAGGAAATGTGTATCCCATTTTTAATTAGCGTCCATTTAGCTGCCATCTTCCCTGGTACGGCATCTGCGCAACCGTCCACGATAGGACCGAATATGACGCAAAGTTCATTTTCGGATTCGAATTTTAGCCACCAGTCGGCCAATAATAGATCAATTTCGGGTATGTAGTCTTTGTGACCTTCTAGAGATCCAGTTCTTATTCATTGTATAGGAATGATTATGGTAAAGGAAAAGTGCGGTGTAATATTAATACGTTTCTGCAGGAGACTACCAATCGCTGCAAAGTGGATTTGTTCAAAACAATGGCCCTCATCTACAAACGATGCTTCAGCAGCCATCCCAAACAGCAGATTCATCGCATCAAATCCAGCAGCAGCAGCAACAACAACAACAACAGCAACAACATATTCAACAACAACAAATACAAGCTTCTCAGCAACACATGGTACATTCCCAACAACATCATTCCGCACAGCAACCACCTTCAACTGCACAGCATTCAATGCAGACTCAGGTTATGCATCACGTGCACCATATGCAACAAATGCCAGGACAACCTGGCATGCAGCAATCTCTTGTTTCTCAGCAAGCAATGCAAATGCAGGCGATGCAGAATCAGCAGATTTCTCATCAGTCAATGATGCAGCAGCAAATGGGCCAGTCACACATGCATCAACAAACACGGTCGATTAGTTCTCAAGGTAAATCATCTTGGCGTAATGTCTAGTGAGTAAATTTGAGCTGTGACATCATTTTGTTGGAGGTGCAATAGTGGAGTCGAACTATGTAATCACTTGCTTGAGAAATTGAGCTGCCAATTAGTGTTTAGTGTTTAGAAATGAGTTCGTTAGGAATTTATTTGTCCAAAATGAACAGAATTTTCAATCGACCTTCACTGTTGATCAAAAGCTGAAGTACAAATTAAGATTGGAGATACAGTGTAACAGCTTGTATTTTGTGTATTCACTAAACTAGATAATTCCTGTAACTCTGTTGGTAATCTTAAACCAGTACACTGTCGATGCAGGTTAACAGTGGTTTTGTGCATTCATCGGTTGCGAATAACGATGTTAAATAAAGCAAGATGTGTTACGTGTAAGAGCAGAATTTTACAGGTATTGTAGGTGGGCAGCAGTTTGCACAAGGCGGTGGATCATCTCAAAATCCAGTTGGTGTGGGAGGTTCTATGCAAATCAGTTATCAAGGACAAGCACATGCATGCGTTTCTCAGCAACAGCCGCGCAACCCAATGGGGCAGTTCACGTCGAGGGATGGTGCTGTGAATATCGACTATCAACAAGGTTTTTTAAACATGTTTATAAAGTTCTGCATGTTTGAAATCATATATATTTCAGGTAGTCGGGGAGGGCGACAACCTGTTCATATGGGGCAACATTCACAAACAACCATGGCACGTAGTGGTCAAAAGGGAGGCAATCTTATGGGCTCGAATATTGTGTCCAGTGAACAGCAAATGGATGCACAACAAATGGGAGATCATTCAATGGGAGCACAACAAATATCTCATCATATGGGACAATCTTCCTTGTCTGGGCAACAATACTATGTGCAGCAAGATCACAGGTGTGACTAGATTTTGCCTTTCTTTTTTGAACTACTGACACGTATATTTAACTTTTATTCACTTCCTATTCTTTCTTTCTTGAAAAACTATTATTCGACTGATTTCAACTGCAGCTTCAGCTTAGCTAATTTAATTATGCAGATTCGTGCTCCTAAAATCATTCTGCTTGACGGCCGATTGGCGACAGCACGCTAGAGTAAAAACTTCTATGATAAAGGGAAAACAAAGGCACCGGTTGGTGTGGTGGATAGCACATGACCCCCGTAAAGGGTAATCCCCGGTTCGAAGCCCAAGTGAGGTCCCAAGTTCTGTTCACATAACGAACTGCTTCCTAGCTGGTTTTCGATAATTAGCTGTTATTTTTTGAACGCTGGAGTACTTGAGAAGTGTTTAAAACTGCACATATTTGTAGAAGAGACGTAACTCTATTACCTAATATATATATGTATATAATCTTAACCGTTTTATTTAGTGCCTACTCTTTTTTAATGACGAGGTATATTGCGAAATATAACTTCAATTATGCATAGATATTTGCAAAACCCTGGACCGAAGGTGTCTGCAGTGGGGAACGAACGCGCTGTTTGTCCTTTCCGGGGAGTAATGCCGCAGACACATGCGGTTCGGAGTTTTGCAAATATCTCAGCATCTTAACCCTTTTATTTACTGCCTTTTTTCTTCTTAATGGTAGGGTATGTTGCGAAATATAACTCGTATGAAATGCTGAGATATTTGCAAAACTCCAGACCACAGGTGTGTGCAGTGGGGCACGAACACGCGCTGTTGTCCTTACCGGGGAGCAGCGCACTTCACCACTACGGACCCGAATGGTGTAGTGGTGAAGTGCGCTGCTCCCCGGTAAGGACAACAGCGCGTGTTCGTGCCCCACTGCACACACCTGTGGTCTGGAATTTTGCAAATATCTCAGCATTTCATACGAGTTATATCTCAGCATCGTTGAAGTTATGTGTATATATTTCTCCTTCCAACGGTTTACCGCCTCATCGTGCCTGGGAGTTGTTCCTGAGTGTCCGACTGCGATGTAAATTGGGGGATTTATCCTCCCGGCAGGGCCTTCCAAGCTAAGAAGGAGTCCGGCATTTCCGTCAGGAAGTCCAGCTAACGGTAAACCAATACTAGGATCCACCATTGTCCAAGCACCAAACAAGTCACATGGTGGTAAATTTCTCTCTGATTCACAAGTGCGGCGAATGCCTGTGGTGGTGACGAACTAGGGAACGCTTGCCCAGGCTGACCTCGGGACTCCGGGGAAGCACAGTGGCTAAACGGCAAAACTCTGGGAAATGGAAATTTTCTTTGGTCCGCACAACGCGCCATCCAAGTATTTATATATATATTTTTTATGTATTTAAGGTGTATGCACATATATATATTTCTGTGAAATATTATTCCAATCTTAAATTTGTTTGGAAAAAAGTTTTACACAAAGTCGAGACGAAGCTTTGAGTTTTGAAAATTGCCAGCTTAAGCGCAGCAGCGAAAACACGACGCATAAGGGAATCCTATCTTTTCCTTTTATGTAACATCCCAGCTGTCCAACCACTTCGCCTTCCGAAAGTAGGAAGGCTCCGACAAGGAAAATTAGAAGAAACGTATGTTGGGCGAGATGACTATGAATTTAATTTTAGTAGAATAAGGAAATTTACATTCCGTTGCTTATAACCTGCAGATTCTAATAGATTCTAATTTTACCAATCTTAATTGATAATATTTCTTATGTTCTGAGATATGTAGGGCTGGAAGGCAGCCATCGTTTCTGCACCAAACGTATTTAAATTTATGGTGATTCATGTGAAAGAACTATTTGTAGGACATTAAACCAGCCTTTCAATCAGTCGCAGTACTCGTCTAACGATCAGTTTTAACATTTGTTGTATATACGTCATGCTTAGTTGTACTTTATCCATATAATGAATTTTAAAACGGGTCATATTGTGATTCTAATATGTTTGTTAAATTTATTTTTGCTAATAAGTAATGTGCTGATAAGCCTCATAGTAATAGTGTGATTATGCTAATAAGAATCT